TTGGTTTCCAGGTGTTTACTTCCTTCTGCCTCTGCATAATAGCCCACTGCCCAGAAAATTCAACTCTGCCTTCCCTGAAAGCCACTTGAGCCAAAGGCATCTGTATCTAGGCTATGCTCAGTCAGTTCATAGGAAGGTCATTAATAGGTCACAGATCTCTCTCAACTTGGGCTTGAAATGAGAAAGACCCTGCAGAAGGGATGATACTTTCATTCTTGAGGCCATTTGCAAAAATAAATGTGGACTTAGTTCAGTTCAGGGGCATATTCCTGATTCAGCAGGAAAAAACTTCCGTTATGGGCAATGGTTGATCTCAGAAAGCCAAGATATCAGATGTCTTACAGTCATACTACTGAACTGCCCCATGCATTGGGGCTTATACTTCACTGTTTTTACTGGCCCAGACTGTCTCTGGTATCCTGAAGCCCTGGACACAACCTCTGAACTGTCCTGCATTAACAGCCAAGCACAGAGCAACCCCACAAAAGTTGGTCCAGCCTAGTCTCACTTCTGCAGCAGCCAGAGCTCCATCTGCAGAAAATGAAACACCTAAGAAGGAGCACAGGGACAGCCAAAACTTGCAATAGAGAGTTCAGAAAAAGTCAAGTTCTATAGCATTAAAACCAGTGCAAAGTTCTCCTTTCCCAAGATATGCATAAGAATGTAAAAATTGAGACTACCCACGGATAAGAAACATAGAAGCCCAAGGGAAAAGCATGATTGCCCTTGAATTGATATTATTTTGCCACCACTACCACCCTCAAAGCACAGTAAGACCAGAGACCACCTCTGCTGGGCACTGAGACAGTCCAACAGAGCTTCTGCCTTGAAGAACCTAACGTCAAGACTAAAACATTACACAAGCACATCAGTAGAGGAAGAACACGGACAAACAGTAAGCAAGCACAGTGCACAGACACACCATTAAACCAAGTTTGGGGCTTGACCTCACTTTAGTTTCGGTGACCACAACTACCTGCCCATCTGTGACCCATTCACTAAGGAAAGCTTGGGCTAGCTGAAGACTGGAAAACAGAGAGGCACCAGTCCCAGACTGGTCACTGTGGACTGTGGCCAGGACTTCTCCAGACCTGTTGACTCTAAGGACATGGCAGCACACCATATTAGAGCCATGGCCTCTGAAGGAAGAATCAGCTTCCATTAGCTTCTTCCCATCTTAGCAAATGTTGCATTTGAAGATATTTCAGAGAATAAATTTCAGATTAATTTTACAGACGTTTCCTGCAAGCTGCTGTGTCAGATGGCTGCCCCTCTAGCTATCAGCACACAAAGAAGTTCGTGCATTAGAACAAGCAGCTACACAATGCTAATGGAAACTGTCCTTGCGAAAAGATGCAGGATTCACTGGCCAAAAACCAGTTCTTCAAACAACTTTCAGACCGATCACACGCCACTTCTTCTCACCCACTGACTTCCTGAATCTGCCCCATAGCTCTCATGAGAAGACCCTCTGATCAGTGTTTGATGAGTGGGCCAAAAGACACCCAGCTCGTTAATACATCAGGCACCTCCTGGCTCCAAGACAGGTGTTTACAGGCACATCTCGCCTGGACTATACCCTTAACCACAGTGTCAGCGATGACATCTACACCACAGCTTGTCTCCCAGCTCTGCCAAAGATATAACTTCTGAGTTCAGCTGGCAGCACAATGAATCCTTCTTGCTGTTCCCTATAGTCTGGAGCGCAGGTGACACAGGTAGCCCCACAGGCTCAGGGATGCCTGGTGGCCACTGCCTGGCTTCAGGGATCCCGCTGTAAGGCCAACCTGTTCACTTCGGGAGCAAAGAGGCAGCTTCCCAAAGCAGCGCGGCCACGAAGACACACCCCGTTCAGGGATCCGTGGCCATCGCGGCACAGTCGCCAGAGGCTGCAACATGGAGGCAACGCGGCCGTGGTCCGGTGCTGTCCCACCCTGCCCCGCCGGTCCCAGGGCTGCTCCCGCGGGCAGCACGGCGGGGGCACGGCGGCCGGGGCTCGCCGCGCATCAGCCCTTGCCCGGGGCCGGCCCTCCCCGCCGCCGAGGGGGCGCGGCCCGGCGGGGCAGGGATGCTGCGGGGGCCGCCTCCTCGCCGGCCCCGGCCGTGCCCGGGCTCGCCGCAGCCCCCGCGGCGCGGAGGGGCGGGGCTGGCTCACCTGGGCACGCAGCTCGGCGCCGAGCGGTCGATCTCCCACGTGGCGAAGAGGTTCATGGGCACCGGCACCGGTCCGGGGCCAGCCACCGCCATCGCGGCCGCCGCCCCGCCGGCCGCCACCGGAGGCCCCGCGGCGGGGCCCGACCCGAGCGCGCCGCCCGTCGCCGCCGCCGCCGCCGCCGCCATGGCCGCCATCCCTCCCCGCCGCCGCCGCTGGCGCTGGCGCTGGGGGGCGGCGCGAGCCCCTCGCCTCAGCGCCGGCCTCCGCCCCGGCGCGCGAGCGCGCGCGCCCGCTCGCTCGCTCGCTCGCGGCCCGTGGCCAATCAGAGCGCAGCCGGGGCTCGGGCACGAGCCAACCGGAGCGGGGAGCAAGGGCGGGGACCGGGGCAGGTGGCGAGCGGCCAATCGGAGCCCCCGGGGAGGGAGGCGGGCGCCGAGCGGCCGGGCACCCAATCGGAGGGGCCGGCGGGGCGGGGCCGGCCAATGGGAGCGGCGCCGGGGCCCCGGCGGGGCGGGGGGAGCGCGCGGCGTCGCTCCCCCCACGAACGGCGCCGACCCCGCCACGCAGGAGCGCGCGCAGGGGCGCGGCCGGGCGCGCGCGGTGCGGCCCGGGGCTCGTTCGCGTATCCATCCATCCATCCATCCATCCATCCGTCCGTCCGTCCATCCTTCCGTCCATCCGTCCGTCCATCCATCCATCCATCCGTCCATCCGTCCATCCATCCTTCCGTCCATCCATCCGTCCATCCGTGCATCCTTCCGTCCGTCCATCCGTGACCCCTTCCGTCCCACCACGGCGGGCGATCCCCGGGGCCGGCTCAGAGCCTCGGCCGTGCGTAAGCTGCTGTGCCAGGAGCGGTGGTGGGGACATCCCACTGGAGGTCCCTGCGGGGATGGCGAGCCCATGGAATGCCGCGGGGAAGGGGGGTGCCCTCCGCGGGGTAAGCAGCTAGCGGGCGGGCCTGAGGAGCAACGGGGCAGATAGACCCGCGGACATGGTGGGTTGTAGCTGAAAGGAAACTGAGAGCTTCAAGTGATTGTTTCCTCGAAACCCCTGGGAACTCTAAGGGAACAGGCTGCAGGGAGAGCCAGAGAAATCCACTTCAATCACAATGAACATCTCTCCAGGGGAAACGCAGCTAAAGGAGGAACCTAGTCAGCCAGAAACTGCAAGTGGTGGCTGTGATGAGCAAAGGCCATTTGTGATCTGGGGACCATGCCCAGAGCTTCAACAACTCTGAGGAAGCATCACAGGTTGTAGTGTAGCATGGCTGCAAGGCAGAGCATCCTTAGGGCCAGCACAGTTTGCAGGGACAGGGCTGAGGGCAAGCCTGTGGTACAGCAGCTGGGCAGGTGCATTGCTGTGGTTCTGTTCTAGCAGAAAGCATGAAGGTTCCCCTCCTGGACCTCCCCTCCATCAGGGCCTTAGCAGACGATCTGTCTGAAATGGCGCTGCCTCAAAAAAATTGGAAAGGAACATCAGAATGTCAGAGAAATCAGAAATTAAATCATCAGAGGAGGGTGGTGCTGGTCGAGGACTCCTGATAGGAGGCAGAGATGAACCGAGAGTTGCAGTGCTCTTCATTGAAAACTATCTGAAAGAAATGGCCAGGCTCAATTCACCTAGCAGTGACAGAGTCTTCTGTGGATGCAGTTACTCCTGGCAGACTGTAAAATGTGGCTCATGCCAGTGGAGGAATTAGAATTTGGGAAGTGACAGAGGCACAAACTTGCAAATCAGCCTAAGACATTCCTGGTTTCTACCCTGGATCTTGAGTACAGCACTGATGTTTTCAGAATGTTCTCAGTAAACATTTCAGGGACACTTCCCTGAATACTGATGTCTAGTTTGTAGCCTGTCTTTTGGACCTCTTCTTTTTACTGTGTTTGTCAGTTCTACATTTCCTCTGCTGTTGAGCTTCACGTTTCTTGGTAGCATGCTGGTATTCACATCAGCTCTCAGTTTGACTAGATGAATAATTTGAACCATCATCAAACTCTTACTTCTTGCTCCCTGCCCACCTTCCGAGCCTATTTCTGCATTTGATGAATGGCACGGATCCCAGCAGTTGCTCAGACCTCCTGACTTGCTTACAAAACAGCTTGATTCCTGCTTCGGTGCATTTTCTGTCCTTTAACCAAGTCATTAATGTACTAGAGGACCTTTGCTTTCATCCTTGATAGCCGTGGTTCTCTAAGAACATTTGCTAAGAGATCTTAGCAGAGGCCTTTGTGGAAGTCCAACTGGATCAAGAATGAGCTGCACCTTCATAGCATTCTGCCAATGAGTGTGGAAACCTTGTTTTTGCAGCAGGAGAGAATCACGAAATGGTCATTGGTCTTATCTCAGCATTATCACCCGTCTAGTTAGACCCCAGCTGGCTCAAATAGGTATCACCATGGCCTTTCGCCAAAAGCAGCTGACTGCTCCAGAGAACCTTCCTAGATCTGGGGGCTTGATTCATCCCTAGAAAACCCATTGCAGTCCTTACCCAGGTGTTTGATTTCATCCGTTTTCTTTCCAGTTTCAGTCACCATTTCTGGCTTTTTGTGTGGTACTTTAATAACATTGAGTGCTCCAGGTTTTCAAGGATGCACTCTGTCATAGGTTTACTTTTCCGAAAAAAACAAGCAGGGAATTTTTCTTTCCCCTGCATCATTGTGAAAGAAAGATGTTGAACAGGGGAGGGTGGTTTGGCTAGGGTGATTCACACACACACAAAAGAATTGGCCGACAGCCCACATTCCAGGTTGACAGCCCTCAGAAGATTGGGGGGGGGGAGGTGGTGGGTTTTTTTTTTCTCCTCGGGAAATGGCAGGTCACTCCACTTTTGCCCTGACTCAGGGAGGGGATGTGTGTGGAGTGATTCCGGGGTTTGTTTTGTTTTTCGGCAGGGTCATCTGGCTGCTTCTGGCCCCGGTTCACCTCCGTTCTCCTGCGCCCTGTCCTGCCCCCAGCCCGGATTTGTTCAGATTTCATCGGAGAGGCTTGGACCTTCTGTGAAGGAACCTTTGGGGGGAGTCCTGGTCGGAACCAGCCGCTGACAGCGTGAGTCTGTAGGAAGATCCCCTTTTTCCCCCTTCCCCTTCTCAGTGCGGGGGGAGATCTCCATTTCTGCTTCTCCCGGGGCCGCCACACCGCGACCGCCAGAGCCCAGCAGCAGCCTTTGCCAGCCAACACAGAGCAACTGCAGGCTCTGCTCCTCCAGTGATCCAACAGCACCTCCCGATCGTGGTTAGAATTGCACCAAAAGGCGGAAAGTACTGAACAGTTTGTGGGGTTTTTTTTGTAGGGAACTTTGGCTGCAGAATTATTTAGATGTTTTTGTGTTCTTTTGTTGTTCTGCCAATACACAATGAGGGCTGTTTTCTTTTCTTTCTCCATACTTCCTCAGCTGGAGACTTAATTTCGGATTTACAATTACTTGGAGGGAGGAGCTTGGTCTTCCTCATAACTCATCCTCCTTAGCAAAACACTTCAGTCTCATTAAACTGAGACACCGGAGCACCCCCAGCACCACGGGGTGAGCCCCTCTCAGCTCTGCATTGCCCAGGGCACAGCAGAAGGAGCCTGTGCTGGGCCTGGTACCTGAGAATGGCACAACTATCCCACCGCTCTGGGCTGGGGCTGCTGGCAGCAGGTGCCTGCAGGTTGTGGTGATGAGGGAGAAAACATGGCTTTGAACACAAAAGGTACTCTTATAGCTAAAACCATGACAGCTTGACACAGACCGGCCAAGACTCCCCCCACCTTGTCGATGGGCAAAAGTACGGGAGTGGAGGAGGGACCAGAAGCAGCCAGATGACCTGGCCGAAAACAAAACAAACTCAGAACCTTTCTACACACACACACACTCACTGAGTCAGGGCAAAAGTGGAGTGCCTACTGTTCTGGATATTCCCTCCATTCTGTATTTTTGACAAATACTTCCCTGAACTGACTCTATATTAATTCCTTTTTCCTACTTGTCATGCCCAGTTTCTTTCTTCTCCACTCTGATGTCACCTTCCAACACCTTGCTCACATTAGCCTTTTTCTGTGATGTTAAAACACCTCTTAGCACCCTGTGATCAGCTTACTCAGAAGCTGTTCCCCACTTGTTTGGAGATTTTTTTAATTGCCTTCCTAAAGGATGCCCACCAATTCCAGCCACCTCTTGAACTCTGTGGCCAGATTCTGGGGGCCACAAGCCTCTTTTGGAGCGGTTGAAGCTTTTAGCATGGTCCCCAGGTCACTGCCAGCCTTTCCCCACTGCAGTCATTGCTTGCTATTCCTTGCTGACAAACTTCCTCTGCTTCCTGCAGTTCCCCTTTGAGGATGTTAACCAGACTGAAGGTTGGATTTCTGATGGATTTCTCTGTCTCTCTCCCATCAGCCTTAGAGTGCATTGCTGTCACTGCCCTAGAGGGACTCTTCAGTGACAACAGTGGGGTGCAGGTGTCACAGGCAGCACAGGCCTAAGCTGAAGATGCTTTTCCAGACAGGTCTGGAGCCAGCAGCAGCCAGGGAGCAGCTATGTGCCTGGGAACCCTGGTGTACCCTCTTTGGTTTCCTTCAGTTTTGTCTCTGATACAGCTGCTTCCACATATGAACTCTGGCACCTTGGTTCCAGCATCATGTTTTAGAGAAGCACAAGTATCTGCTCTTGCTCTGGCTCCTTATTTTTATGTGCCTCGTTAAAGCAGTTCTTCACTGCTTCCCACGCAAATGTTGTCACCTCCCGTCCTAGTCTCTAGTGAAGATTCAGGGGTTTTATGATTCCAGCTCACAGATGAATCATCTTATCTTTAGCCCCACTGCTTGGTAGTTACCTCCAGCACCTCTCTCCTACCTCTGTCGTATAGGTACCTCTGTGGTGTCTGACTCCCTGGGCACTCCGTGGACAGAGACCCCTTGCAGCCTGCAAGAGATTGCTCTGATAGCAAGTGAGAACTGGTGCTTCTGCATCCATTAGGAAAGAACTATTTTTTTTCGGCGTCGGCTTGCATTCTTGTGCCTCACAGTGCTCTCCACTGAGGCAGAGTTGCAAGGTTTCATTTTTGGAGGCACGTTGTTTAGGCTGCTTTGTTTCCCTGCTCTTTCAGCCCTCCTGGGGATCGCTGTTTATTCTGGTGCTAGGAGAATGATCCCACAGCCAAACCCTTTACCTTGTTGCACCTCTGTAACCCAGAGCTCTGCTCCCTTCACACAGGCCCTCCACCTGCCTGCATCAGCTAGTCCACACTCAACATAGGACACATGAGCTAAGCCTTGATGCTGGTCCAGTGTCTCCATTTGCCATGGACACTGTAGATGGGATTCATATGTTCTTGGTGCCACCCGAGATGCCCCAGGGCATCAGATACAACAGGAACCTGTGGCTACCCTGTCAGGAACTGATGCAAGGTGAGCTGCATTTCCCCTGACACTCTGTCACTTGCACTTGTCCTCGGTCTGAGGTCTATGCCTGGTTTTGTTCTTAGCCCATCTCCAGAGATCCAAGAGCCTCCCCATCTTCCAAAAATACATATATTTACAATGAGCACTTTAAAGCCAGAAATACACTGCAAAACCTTCCCTGTGTAGCTAAGACCATAATCACTTAGAAGCAAGTTCGGTGTTAAATGCAATAAACTGCTTAAGGCTGATAGAAGAGCATTTGTAGAGAGGTATGTCCGCCAGGGTAAGGGAAACCTTTCGCCTTCCCTGGCTTGGTTTATCTGCACACAAGCACCTGGCTGTGCCAAGCCCAGCTGTACCAGAGCCCTGAGGAGCTGGAGCTCCCACGACCCTGCAGCCCAGCAAGGCGGGGTGCCAGGTCACGGAGGTGTGTGGGTTCCCCTGCTTCCTCCACCAGTGAGGCCCCAGCAAGGAGGGGTCCCGGCCCCAGTCCCTCCTGGAGGGCAGGCATGACCCTTGTCAGCCCAGGCTTCCCTGCGCGCCACAGGTTTTCCTGCTGGGCCGCGGCTGCGAGGGCTCCGTGTCAGGCCGGGGCAGGAGGAGGCCGTGGGGCGGGAGGTTGGCTGGAGAAGGGCGGGGGTGCCGGACGTGGCCCCAGGGCGGGAGCTGGTGGAGAGGGCAAAGGATCAGGAGGGAGCCCCGCCGAGGGGCCCCGGGGGCGGCGGGCAGAGGGGTCCCGGAGCAGGAGGGGCGGCGGGCGGCGCCGGGCCGGCCGGTGAGGCGGGGGCCGCCGCAGTCCCCGCCCGCCGCCCACCGGGAGGGGCCAAGCGCCGTCGCCGCAGAGCCAACGCCGCCGGGCCGCGCCGGGCGATGCCGCGCCGGGCCCGGGGCCGCCTTCGCCGCCGCCCTGCGCCCCGGGGAGCCGCCCGAGGTAAGCGGGACCCCGGGGGAGCCTGCGGGCCGGGCCCCCGCGGCCGGTGGGCAGCGCCCGCCCCCGTGGGCAGGGGGCTCTGGACAGGCGGGGCCGGGGGCGCTCAGGCACCCCGAGGGGACACGGCCCGGCGGGGCGGCCCCACTCGGGCCCCGGGGTGGGCGTCCGTGCAGTGGGGCCGTGCAGAGCCGGGCTTTGGGGTACCCCAAGTGTCTCCGGGGGCTCGGCAAGGCCGTGGAGTGACAGGCGGGTGAGCCCCAGCCGTGTACTGCGCTCCAGATGTGCCACATCCATGAGCTCCCCCCTAGCCCACCGGCCTCTGATCTCTTCTCCCTGAGAGGCACCCGTGTCTGGCAGGTTCAGGCTTGGCTGCCTCCCACAACATGAGAGGATGCTGCTGGGCCCAGGGATGCCCGACTGCGCCGGACACCTGCTTCCTCAGCCAGAAAGCAGGAGTCCAGGTAGCTTATGCCCAGGGCCCTGTGCCATCAGTTTCAGTACCAGGAGCATCCGTGTGCAGAGGTGACCATTAACTGTGCAGTCTCCATCCTGCTCTCAAGCGCTTGCTCCATGGTCAAGTGCCACCCACACACTGCCCACTGGATGACCAGGACGGTGTCCCAGTGCCCTTGCATGGCCCAGGTGTGGCTGAGGCGGGCTCTGTGTGGGCAGCCATCGTGCAGCACTGTGCCACACAGTCATCAGCCCAGTTTCATCCTCCGTTTCATCCGGGGGGCTGGCTCCCCTCCAGAGCAGCTGCTGAGTTGTGCCTGGCGAGGCCCCGACTCTGTCCTCCCTCTCTGCCTCTGACAGCAGCTGCCTGCAGCTGTGCTTGGTCAGGGGGAGGGAGTCTGACAGTCCTGGTGACAGTCCAAGGCAGGCAGGGTCCTTTTGGGGAGGGTGCTTTGCTCTGCCCCAGCCCAGGAAAGCTGAGCATCCTGCCAAAATTGAGGGCCTGTTGCAGAGCTCCTTGTGTCCTGGAGCTGTGGGCTGGTGCTGCTTTTTCTTGCTTTCAGTTTATGGTGTTGGGGCAGGGTGGGAATAGGCAAACAGCTCTAGGCAAAGCTCTTGGGGACCATGAACCTGAAGGAATCTGAATATTAGGCTCATTTCTTCCCTCCCACCCCACAGGACAGCTAGGCTAAAAATAATCCTTCATCTGGTGCTGTGCATGAGAATAAGGAGAATAAAAAGAACAGTCCTGGATCATAGCAGTTAAGGGCTTGCTTGGGTTAAATGCATAGTTGTGGTCTTAAGTGCCTTGGGGAAAAAATATAACCAGTGTCCCCGGACAGAAAGTCCCATGGAAAATAAGGCACATACCTTTCAGGTCAGGCAGAGACTAGCCGTGTGATGAGCTACCAGAAGAAGCAGTGGCATCCCAAGTGCTTGAAGTGTTCCAAGTGTCCAGCCTGTCCCAGTATGTGCAGCCTAGGAACTGGGCTTCAGACATCACGTGCCACCAGGATGCCGTGGTCAGGAGTCTCGGGAGCACTTTGGCTAGAAGTCTGCAGGTTTGGAACAAACCAGGCACGTAGGATGGTTGAAATCTATGAACACAGCCCCCTCCCTTCTTTCAGCCATCCACAGCTGTTGAGGAGAGGGCAGCAGAAGGGGGCCCAAGGGTGAGGATAGGAAATCTCAGCAACTCCCTAACAACCCTGCCTGTTCCTCTGTGCAGGATGGTTCCCCCACCGCCTGTCAGCAAGCCCCACGTGTGCCTCTCCACTGTGCTCATCATGACCAGCCTTGTCCTCATGGATGCCTACTTGGTGGAGCAGAGCCAGGGCTCCAGGAAGTTGGGCATCTGTGTCATGGTGGCAGTGGGTGACTTGTGCTTCCTGCTGGTCCTCCGCTATGTGGCCATCTGGGTCGGGGCAGAGGTAAAGACAGCTAAGCGGGGCTATGCCATGATCCTCTGGTTCCTGTATGTCTTCGTTCTGGAGATCAAAGTCTACTTTGTGTACCAGAATTATAAAGCTGACCGGAAAAGCTTGGATCTCATAGCCCGCAAAGCATTGACCTTGCTGCTCTCCATCTGCATCCCAGCCCTCTACGTGTTGTTGGTGGCCACAGAGCATATGGAGTATGTCAGAACGTTCAAGAAGAAGGAGGATCTCCGCAACCGCCTCTTCTGGGTCATTGTGGACATGCTGGATGTGCTGGACATCCAGGCCAACCTGTGGGAGCCTCAGAAGAAGGGGCTGCCGCTCTGGGCCGAGGGCATCATGTTCTTCTACTGCTACATCTTGCTGCTGGTCCTCCCATGCGTGTCCCTGTGTGAGATCAGCATGCAGGGCATTGGTATCGTGCCGCACCGGATGATGCTGTACCCCATGCTGAGCATGCTCACCGTAAACATCACCACCATCTTCATCCGAGGCAGCAATATGGTCTTCTTCAGGGACGCCCGGGTCTCCAGCATCTTCATGGGCAAAAACATGCTAGCCATTGGGATGAAGGTCTGTATGTTTGTGCAGTACCAGCGGCACCAGCACCACACGCCCCCGGGGCCAGACCTACAGCACAGTGACCCAGCCCAACTGCCCACGGGGCTGCGCAAGTCCCGGGACCAGCCTGCCTGCCCTGAGGAGCTGGCCCGGGACAACACGTGACAAGCCAGCAGGAGCTGCAGCCTGGGCACCACCATGCCTGGCTGTACCTACAAACCAGAGGCAGGCTGCTGAGCTCCCCGCCTGGACAGAGGGCAACGGCCCTGCTCCCTCCCTCCCTGGGCAAAGCTGCTCAGGGCCCCGAGGGTTGCATGGCGAGGGCCCCCTGTAATGGCCTCCATAAGGCTGCAGAGCAGTTTGAGACCACAGCACCACACCAAGTGAAACAGGCAGCAGAGCAGAGGAGGAGGCCAGGGTTGCCTGCCAGGTGTTGTGTCTGGCTGGGGCCAGGCAGCCCTATCTTGTGCCAGGCTCCCCCACCAGTGCTCCCCATACAGCACTGCCCTCTGGCCAGGCAGGGTACCACACAGGGACACAGCAGGTCACCTGCTTTGCTGTTGTGGTTGGCCCTGGCGCTGGTGTGGTCCTTGGTAGCAACCTGATCCCTGCTGAGTAAGCCAAGGTCCCCATGCACAGGCAGCAAGGCCTGGGCCTTCCCCTGCTGTCACCCCTCTCAGTCAGCTGCAGGCCTGGGGGACCCAGAGAGGGGTGACTGTCCTTTTTTGTATCACCCTCTTTGCAATAAAAGACCTGAACCCTGCAGCCTTCTCATGTGTGTGTCCCTGCCAGCAGGCAGATCCTCCACCGCTCCTGTGGGTGCATGTTCCTTGCATGCCTGTAAGTCCAGCTGCAGAGCATGTGGAGAGGCTCCCTCAGTGACCACCTAGGCCTGGGGAGAGCGTCCCAGATACCTGGGTCTGAAGCCATTCCTCCTCGGCCGCATTTGGGAGAGGCGGGTCCTGGTGAGAGTCAGGTGGGCTCTGAGGGTGTCACTGGTGGGGTAGGTGTGGCAGCTTTGTCAGTCACCACTGCATGTGCAACCAGATGCAGTTACATCCACTGCTACCAGTCATGCTCAGGGACACCCACAGCAAGTCCCCACACTCCACCTGGAGGGACACCAGTGCAGGTCTGGCAGGGACACATTACCCAAATCACTTCAGAAACAAGGAAAATGACCGAGCTGCTTGAGGCTGGGAGGCTACAGGAAAGAGCAGCTCCCTGGCAATAGGAGGCTCCGTGGAGATGGTGGAAGCATCTCCTCTTGGAGCTGGTGTTGCCATGCTGCTGCCCGCTCAAATACCCAGTGACACCTCACCAATGGCTGAGTTGGGCAATGACACAGGACTTTCCCTGCTGCGGGGTGCTGGGCCCAGGAGCTGCACCTACAGAGGCCAGCAGGCTCACTCCTCACTACTAACGCGCAGAGCAGAGGCAGGTGACATCCCAGCGAGGATGCTCTCCTTGCAGGCTGTCTGGTTTTAAAACCTCAGCGGGGAGAAAAGACGTTAAGACTGCTCAAGCCACCCCTTGCAATGGTGGAGGGGGAAAACAAAACAAGGCTGCGAGAGGTTAAAAAAACGTTAGTCACAATTTTACTGAGGTAAAACAAATAACAATACAGAGGCAGCTTCCGGACGTAGGACCACCCGAACTTCCACTGGCTCGGCGTGTTTATGGTGGAAACCACGCCCGCTCACTGTGACGCGGGTATATCAAATATTCAACACTAAAGCTCCACCCCTTTGCTTTGTAACCATAACACAGTAAGATGCACAGGCCTCAGCAGGAAGATGCCCTTTGGCTCCAGAGGGGCAGGAGGAGAAAGGAGGACCACTCTGGGAGTCCACCAGACTTGCCACCTCCTGTACGGGACCTATGAGCACCAGGGCATGGGGACACGTACTCAGAAATGCTTGAGGAATGCCACATGGCCCCTCAGCAAGGCTGTGGCAGCAGATCTCTAGCCAAGCTGGCACATCCCATTTCTACTGCCTTTCCCCCAGTCCCATTAAGACCTGTCACCACAGCATCACCCACGGGAACTGCAGTGGAGGCAGGTGCTTTAGCGACAGCCTCAGGCCCACTGAGCTGCTCATTGTTGCATGTTTTGCTTATATCAAGGCCTGTGCCCACACAACTCTGGCCCACCCACACACAGCACGGCTGTGCCCAGGCAATGCCCTGCCCTGCAGAGCCAAGGCACTCTCGCAGCACCCACTCTGACCTGTCAGACAGGGATCATCCAAGTCACCTCCTTATCAGCACAACCACAGCAGACGGGGCAACCAGAGCAAGGAGAAACATGAGAGCTGGTTCCCCTAAGTTCAAACACTTCTGACTGTAACAGCAACCACACTGGGAATAAAGGAAAACCAGTATTTTATTTTATACGGGATCAGTTTCCCAGAAGCACTAACAGCCCTGTGGAGACAACCTTGAGAAGCCAAGGAGAGAAGCCAAGCTGCTCTGAAGGAGAGATAATGAATAGCAGTAGCTGAGCAGTCAGCAGCATACCCCATGAGAGGAAGGCCAGCCTCACCTGGGTCTGCATCACTAGGTACAGCCCAGGCAGAGCAGTGTGATCCTCTTCCCTTTACTCAGCCCTTGCAAGAGTTAGTGAGTCCTTGCTAGAGTTAAAAATGAGCAGGTGCAAGGACAAAAACAGCTGTCAACACCATAAGCATCCGCACGACACACTTGTCACCACCCATGATCTAAACCACAAGCTAAGAGGATATTTCAGCTACAAAAAACTCACTATTTCCTTCAGTTCAGCCTCTGCTCTGCTGCCTTACAGCATCACTGTGCAGTGGAAGGCAGATACTGGGAAAAAGGATATCCATCTTCCAGGCCTGGCCAAGGCAGAATGAGTCCCAGTTCCAGACAACAGCACGTCTGTCCAACGTCACAAGTTCTTCTGTGAGGGCAGACGGCGCTTGTCTTTGATGGCATTTCTCTTCCTCTTCTTGTTCAGGAAGCTCTCCAGCTTTCCACTCCTCTTCAGCTCTCCATACTTCTCAGCTAGCTCCAATTTCCGCTTCTCAGCTGTAGAGGAGAGGGACGCAAAGTTTTAAACAGAAGCCCAAAACACCTCGACAGACCAGCCCATCCTCACCTCTCCCTCCCTGGCTCCCAGGCTTAGCTTGCCCCTTGAGTAACAGTACTAGAACAATCCCTCCATGGCTCTGGGGAATAGTACGGACACCTCACTTCCAGTGCTTGAATTCCTGTCAGCAGTACTCCCTCTAGGTCTTCCTGCAGCATGCTCACACTGAATACTTACATTTCTTTAGGAAAAAGGGTTTCTTTCCCTGCTTGGCCAATTCCCTCTGTTGTCTCTTCAAAGACAGCTCTCTCTCCCTCAGCTTCTGCTGTTTTTTCTGTGCCTGTTCTTGCTGTGTCTGTACAAAAAAGATGGCCTGTGTCAGCGCTGAGGCAGACCTCAGGTCACACATCCTCTCTTCCAATGCCTCACAGAGATGCTGTGCTGAACTCACCATACGGTTCAGAAGCTGCTGAAGTTTTTCCTTCTGCTCCGTGTTCCGGCATTTCTTCAGCTGCTTCTGAACCATCTAGAAGAAGAGAGCAGAAAGCTGCATGACTGCCTGACTGTCATTTCCACCTTTACAAAGGTGAAAAGCCTTTGAAGAAGTAGCCTCTGCCAAGCAAGGTTCTTCCAGGCAAGGACAGGCATAGAGCATCACCTCCTTCTCCTGCTTCTTGATGCTGTCCAGGAAGCTGTACGTCTTCATAAATATTTCAGGCTTATACTCTCCAGACAAGTCATCAAATCGAGGGTCTCTGTGGACCTGAGGGCAAGGAAGGTAAAGGCAAGAGCTGTAGCCAGGATTACCCTGTTAATAGCCAGCTTGCTCTCCTTTCACGAATCAGACCTTGCTATTTTTATCACCAGCAATATTACACACCCACCACTGAAACATCTGCAGTTGGCAAAGACCAAGTGGGATGATTAAGGTGGCAGGTCCTCACAAAGTCATGCCTGCATCCAGTCTACCAAGCAACAGACATTTCCACGTGCAAGTCTACACCCAGGAGTATCCAATTCAAGGAACAGGAGCAGGACTGCTACCTCCAAACACTTGCAACTCCTAGACGAAGAGCAGGCTGAATGTGTGTTGTCAAGGTGATGGATTTGGGAACTCGAACCTATCTAGATTTTCACAGATTAACTAGGTCAGGTCATACAAAAAGGGAGAGACAAAAAGAGATCTCTAACTGCAGAAATTAACATATCCAGATGATCCAGCAATAACAAGTCAAAGTTACATTCAGATTAGAATGTAGATGGACATTTGAACTCCTGGGATTAGTTCTGAACAATGACCATGGCTTGCAATAAAATTGTCACTGGTGGAAGTCATTATATCTTCTAGAAACACCTGGGCACTGAAGTTAACCTGCAGCTGCTCCTGCACCCATCCCATCCTCTCCCCAGGGAAACACTATCACTGTCTGCACTCACCAGTAGTCCAGCCCTGTTCTCCAGAACGGAGATGCCTGTGCCATCTGCAGAAGCCCAATTACCATGTGTGTGCCCTGTCAGCATTGCTGCAGGAAGTCAGTTCCTGAACTGGGGAGGGGGAGCACCCACCTTCTTTCTAACAGAGACGACTTGCCGCAGAAAAGGCACAGGCTTCTTGGCAGACATCTCTAATGGTCTGAAAAGGAGAGAAATGTATTTAAGAGGAGCAGATGTCAGAATGAGGCCCAGGCTAACATGTTGAGAGGTTAGTCAAACCCTCAGAAGAACATTACTGCACCACAGAGTCCCCCAACTCAATCCTCCCCATACCTGCAGAGAGCAAAGAGGTGACTCAGTCAAGAGCCACAGAAGGCTAAGGCAACCAAATGTATAAATGTGTGGTTAAAACAACCCTACACAGAACTTGTAACAGCCCCACTGCATCAAGTGAAACCCCACCACCTGCATCAGTAAATATGCTGTACTCGATTACTTCTCTCATAGTCACAGAATGGCTAGGGGTGGAAGAGACCTCTGGTGATCACCCAGAGACCACCACTCTGCAAAGCAGGTTAACCTAGAGAAGGTTGCACAGGATCGCATCCAGGTGGATTTTGAATACCTCCAGAGAAGGAGACTCCACAACCTCACTGGGTAGCCTGTTCCAGTGCTCAGTCACTCTCACAGTAAAGAAGTTTTCCCGCATAGTCACATGGAACTCCCTCTGTTTCACTCTGTGCCTGTTGCCCCTTGTCCTGTCGCTGGGCACCACTGAAGAGCCTAGCCCTGTCCCCTTGACCCCTGCCCTTAACACATTTGTAAGCACTGATAAGGTTCCCTCTCAGTCGTCTCTTCTCTAGGATGAACAGGCCCAGCTCCCTCCATCTGTCCTCAAAAGAAGGATGCTCCAGTCATTTTTTTGCCCTCTGCTGGACCCATCCCAGTAGCTCTGTTGTCTCCCCTGTCCTGAGGAGACCAGAACTGGACACAGCACTCCTGATGTGGCCTGACCAGGGCTGAGCAGAGGGGCAGGATCACCTCCTTTGACCTGCTGGCAAGGTTCTTCCTAATGCACTCCAGGATCCCATTGGCCTTCTTGGCCACAAGGGCACTGCTGGCTCATGGACATCTTGTTGTCCACCAGGACCCCCAGGTCCTTCTCCACAGAGTGGCGTTCCAGCCGGATGGCCTCCAGCATCTACTGGTGCTTGGGCATATTCCTGCCCAGGTGCAGGACTTTGCACTTGTCTTTGTTGAACTTTAGGCTGTTCTTCTCTGTCCAACTCCCCAGCCCGTCCAGTTCTCGCAGAATGGCAGCACAGCCCTCTGGTGTTCCAGCCACTCCTCCTAGCTTTGTGTTGTCAGCAAGCTTGCCAAGGGACACTCTGCCCCTTCATCCAGGTCACTGACGAATAAGTTGAACAACGCTGGACCCAGCACTGACCTCCAGGGACACCACTAGTGACAGGAATCCTACTAGTCCATTGCATCTCTGATCACGACTCTCTGAGCTCTTGCCTTTCAGCTGGTTCTCAATCCACCTCACCATCCATTCATCTAATCCACACTTCCTGAGCTTGTCTATGAGGATGTCAGGGAAGACAGTGTCAAAAGTCTTGCTGAAGTCAAGATAGACAACATCCACTGCTCTCCGCTCAGACACCCAGCCAGTCGTGCCATCACAGAAGGCTACCAGATTGGTCACCGCCGAGGCCTGGGTTCAGTTCCCGGTCAGGGACACTCCCGGGCAGGTGGAGCTTGTTAGCCCTTAAAAGGCAACCCACCTACGTCCTGAGGACTTCGCTGCCACCGTCCAAGCTCGCTTGGCCCCGGCAGATGAACCTTAGGATTAAAGGGTGGGCTCAGTTCCGCGCACACTGTGTCTCACCTAAAAAATCCAATGCGCAGGCTGGAAGGTGTAAAGACCTTCCCCGGATCTTCGCTCGCGAAGACTGGCCATTATATTATTATTATTATTATTATCAGAAACATGAAAAACCTGCTGAGAGCATCCACAGCGTGGGCATTGCACCCACAGTCAGCCACAAATAACACCGGGGCAGGAACATAACCACCCAGGTGTAAGTTTTCAAACCCCTCTTAGGGCGGTGTTCAGTGTATTTTCATGTCCGCTGATGTGGCTACACCCCTGTACAAGGCTCCCGAGTCAGCGTGATACAGCAGTGCCAATGCCAGCTCAGTGCCAGGGGATTTCCTTGAAGTCCTTTCTTTAAGAAGCTCACTCCCATAACAAAAACACAAGAGAAACACCAGGTGGGATTTAAAAGCAATACATCGCTTAAAGGATTAGGGGAATTAAATAAAAGCAGAATTATGCAAACTGTGTGGCAGAAATTAGAGACACTGTGTGAAGATGCTGCACTGCACAAAATCCCCCAGAGCCTTGGGTAAAAGGAAAAGCAGAAACATTATTCTAATCAACTGTTTATGGCAGGAGAAACATGTATTAAGCAGAGATTCAGAAACAAATTAGGGAGCGCCAGTGTAACAGATCAAATCACTTGAATGCAACTCTGAGGACTGAAAACTAGCTAAATACTGCAAATAAAGAGTAAGAGTATTGCTGTTACTAGTTGGGGTCTGTGGAGAACTGTAAAAAGATCTGATAGTTTTTGTTGTGCCAAATACAGGAAAAAGTTTGTGATGTTCTCCCTCTGTAGAGAGGGGAAAAAAAGAAAGTGAACACAAGCAAGCCACAGATGAGACAACAGCAGGATGAATGAAATTCCAGAACAATTGGCTGTGACTGTAAATCCAGCCAGTGGGAGCAAGGCAGAAGATGCTGATAAACTGGAAGGGGTTTAGAAACCAGCAGGGTAACTATTTCAGGTCACAGTGGACATTATCATACAGCTTGAAAGGCACACCATGCTGAAGGTTACAAGTGCTTTAACACAGAGGGCACAAAGGCTTTGAGTGCCAATTTAACTATCAAAACCAGGTGGCTGCTGGGGATTTGAACAGGACAGGATATTAAGAGCTCTGAAAACAGCACCAAACTATTCCCAAATGAAACACTATAGTAACAGGCATTATTGTCTAGTACATTAAAGGAGATCTATGCCAGCTCCAAGGCAACACCACACTGTGAGGAGTTCCCACTGTAGTTTCTGGAGGCAGAGGGCATACACGCACATTTTTCTGATCACAAAAATGCCTCTTTACCCCTTTTTGCCTTGTTGCTGCTTCAGCATAGCTTTGGTAGGTTTTGAAGTTTTCTTTCCACTGGTCATCTGTTTGCACACTCTTGTTCTTGCATCACTCTGCATCTGCAGTAGTTCCTCAAAAGACATGTCAGACTGATCTGGAAGAGAGCACAGGACACACCTAAACTGAACAGCTTCTCAAGGCACTTCTCACTTCCAAATTGCACCAACAGGGATGTCTCAGAGCCCGAGACAGTAACACAAGCACAGTGGTATCATCCCTACACAACTGCATGGCAAAAAGAAGCCTCTCCGTTTCTCAGCCTTTGATTCCTCTCTCATTAATTACTTCAGTCTTTACGACTGGAATAGTCTCCCCCTCACCCCAATGTGTCTTTGCTTCTCTCTCCACTCAATTGCCTGTTGCTATGTTTCTTTAATATCCCTCAGTGTTAGTAACCTTTAGCACTTCTTATAACAGAGTGTAAAAATATTATCAATGATGCTTTCTGGATTTACACGTCTGGGTGTTCAGAACTAACAACTGAAACATTTTTTTAAGTCAGCACTGGGATATGCTCATTCTGTTCCTCTCCTAGGGGCAAGACAGGGTTTGTACTTGCTCCCTTCTAAGAGGGAAAGCCTTGGCAAACTGACTTGGGTGGTGTTTGCCTGCTCAACACCTCTGAGCAGTGACAGGCACATGGCCTTTCTAAGCCTCTGTGATACTGATGTGTTTGTCACAGAACACCCCAACTGTGGTCCAGCAGGAACAATCACATCCTGCCTGTGATACATTGGCCTTGGCTGGGTGCCAGGTGCCCACCAAGCTGTTCTATCACTCCTCTCCTCTGCTAGACAGGGAAGACAAAATACAGCAAAACGTTCACGGGTTGACATAAAGGCCAGGAGAGATCACTCACCAATTGCCATCACACGGGCAAAACAAACAGATTGGGACGCAGTTCTTCACGAACTGCTCCAATGTGGATCCCTTCCCACAGGGTGCAGTCCCTCAGGAACAGGCTGCTCCAGCATGGGTCCCCCACAGGGCCACAAGTCCTGCCAGCAAACCTGCTCCAGCTTTTCATGGGGGCACCTCCACCCGCTTCAGTGTGGGGTCCTCCGTGGACTGCAGGGGCACAGCACCGTAGGCTGCACCACAGGCTGCAGGGCTCTCTCTGCCCACCCACCTGAAGCACCTCCTCCCTCTCCTTCTTCACTGATTTTGGTGTCTGCAGGACTGTTTCTCTCACATATTCTCACTCCTTTCTACCAGCTGCTGATCTGCAGCAGGGCTTTTCCCCTCCTTAGATGTTACCACAGAGGTGCTACCGCTTTTGCTGATAAAAGCCCCTGGCCACAGCTGAGCTAATGGGACATGTGAGGAACCTGTAGTATTCTCTCACAGAAGCCAGCCTTGTAGCCCACTCTACCAAATCCTTGCCACGCAAACACAAAACGCTGCCCACGAGCGAGGTTTCTGTGTGCCTTGCCAAATTCAGGAAGTGACATGAGATCAGTCACATTGGCTCAGAACGTGGACTTATTATCCCAGTTACTCTCATCCTGGCAATAACTAAGACCTTCTGTTTCAGAAACTACTCTCATCATCCAGAAAACACAATGGGCACAGCCACGTGTTGCCTCAGGAAATGTTTTCTTTTTGCTTGTTCCAAATGCTCATGAACTCTGGCTCTGTCAACGCTCATTAGTCCCCTGAAGTAGGCTAAAGGAACACCGCACCTCCAGTCTGCTACACAAGGGACAAAAGAAATGTGAATACAGCATGATTTCATCACACTACTTCCCCAAAACACCCTTCCCCCTTACCTTACTGCAATCTGACATCCTCTCTTGCTTGGACACTCTTGCCCCTGCCTTCTTATCGATAACAGCACCATCACCCTTTCTGATCTCCACCTTTTCCCTTGTCACTCGTGTACAGTCACTTACTGCCTGCCCAGAATGTGACATCCCCTTCAGACCAACAGCTTTGCCTGCACTCAGGCATGAGCAGAGTACCACGCAGCTCAGCAATTTACATTAGTCTTGCTATTGGGGTTCACAGGGACATAAGAAACCCAACAAATTCATGGACAAGAGGATCTGCCACTACACTGCTCAAATTTTGGAAAAATCTGTGCTAATTATACGAGTTACTGGAGGACAAAGCAATTAATCTCTACATATGGCAATATTTGATACTCAGAGCATCACCAGGCGCACAAATGAAAGATTCTGAACAAGGACAATGAAAAGGGCAAAGAAAGCTCTAAAGGAAAGGAATAATGATGTGGAAGATACTCTTAACAGTGGATGAAGACAGGCAAGATGCCATCACTTGCACAACAACACTCCATTTGGCTGCAATTCCAAAACAATACTGTTTAAATAGCAAAGGTTTACATGATGCCACTAAAACCGAGATAGACACCATGTAAAGAGATGCAAAGGATTAGAAAAAAGATTTGGTACAAATCAGAGAAAGCAAAGGCATACAGAACTTTCACTGACAAAATATTTCAATACTGGTACAGGTGACCAGACTTGACTACCCTAAACCTAATGGGGATGATTTCTGCACGGTAGTATCAGTCCATGAAATACACCCCATTTGTAGGAGATTGAATTAGCCACTCACATTCATAAAAACATCACAGGACACAAAAAGCATGCTTTTGGGTAGAAGTGAATGGTCCTAGGAGATGTTCACTGCTGGGCAGCAGATTTGGCAACTGTGCGTGTGAAAAGGCCCCAGTTAAAAAGACAGGATTAGCTTATTTCCCTTGTTTCTTGCATTCTTTCTTGAGACCCTAATTTCCCCATTTTTTCACTTTCATTCACTTTCTCCCTAGAATATAACTTACCTCTTCTGTTCTGTCTCTGTAGTCCATTTTCATTTTTTCCCTCCTGCCATTTTTTCCCTTCATCCAGTATTTTGTGGATTATTTCCTCTGGTTTGCACCTCTTGATAAGCTACTGTTACCTACTGATAACAGGGACATTTCCTGCTCAGGAGCACAGCCTCCTCGTGTTTCCTATCCTCCCACAGACTCCTGTGACACATGGACACCTTATGCCTTTCTCAGCTGAACCTGTACAGGGCTATTTGACCTGCTGAGCACTCCAGAGCGTCCAGGATGTGAGAACAGATGGCCTAAAAAATGGCTGATATCTGCCCAGTTGTTCCCTGCTGAGACAAAATCAGTGCTGGACTCAAATATAACTCCTTCTGCTCCAGAAGCAAGACTACAGAGCGCCCCGACAGATGGCAAAAGTAAAACTGCTGTTCCCATTCACATCCAGCTATGGAAAGCAAAGGGTGCCTGTCCATGATCCTCTCTCCGAGCTTTGCTAAAGGTCACTATGTCCTCACCAGAGGAAAACAAAACACCTACAGCAGATGGTGGGGCACCCTGCCAGTCCCAAAAGCCCACCTTTAGAGGAGATGTGCCTCCCCCATGGCCCCGCTCACACACAACACGGTGACCCCTTTCACAAGACAACCAGTGACTCCTCACACCTGCGTCACGCAGCATGTTTGACACCAGTGTCCATCCCCTCAGTTTTGTCCAAAGGCCTTTGCTGTACTTTTCATTCTCGTCTGGATCATTCTGAGACGAGGAAACCACACTGTGCTCATTACTGTGGATGAGAACCACCACCTGCACACCCTGAGCCTCAGCCACGCACCGCTCGGTTCTCCCACTCCACCTGTCCTGGCGAGGCCCTCTGGAGCTCCTCCGCGCCTGAATTTGCACAGAGCAATTGCCCTTGAGATGTGTGAGATTTTCCACAGTAGAAGCTGTCCCTGCCCACAGCATGGGGGCAGGAACTGGATCTTTAGGGTTCCTTCCAACCCAAGCCACTCTACCGTTCTGTGATTCCACACACGGGGAAGGCGACTACGGGGAAGTGGTTTATGTTCCAGGGACCTCTCACGCATCTCCAGCGCGCACCCTGCTGTGATCCCGAGCGGGTGAGGGAGGGATGAAGGACTTGGAACACGAAAGGTGACCGAGCCATTTGCCGACTCGTTTCCCATTGAGCGAGTGGCCGCGACCCCCCGATACACGCCGAGGGCGCCGCCCGTACCGGGGGCGCTGCCGCCGAGAACCCCCCTCACCTCTCCCGCCGGGCCCCGCCGCCTCCGCCTCCTCGGCCCCCGACACGCTCCCGCCGTCCTCGCTGTCGCCATCGCCCTCCACCGCTTCCAGCCTCCCGAGTGGCTGCTCCGCGGCCGCCTCTTCCTCACCCTCCGTGGCAGCGGCGGCGACTCGTCCCCGTCCCCGTTCCCGTCCCCGTCCCCGTTCCCATCCCCGTCCCCGTCCCGCCCGGTCCCGGCGCGGCCGCATCGCCCTCAGCCGCGGACCCCGCTCCCGGAAGCGGAACCAGGGCACGCCAGAGAGTCACGTGGGGGAGAGGGTTTATTGGCGTCCTTTTTAAGCGAAAAAAAAAAATCGTTCCTTTGCGAGGAACGGGTCACGTATGCGCTCTGGTGATACCCAGCTGATTCGCCAGTAAATGGTAAAGTGCGCGATCGAGATCCCTCTGCGCTGCCGAACTGAGTCATCTCGATGCTGGATTGTACCACGGCCTGGCCAAAGTTTATAACACGAGCACCAGCTGTGTAAAATGAGCATGTGCCATCGCCTTCAGCTGCGTCAGCTGAAGCTCTGAGCAGAAACTCTCTGAATGGAGATGGGCTTACACACAGTAGCCTGCGTTAGGAGAGGTACAGTCAGCACACCAAGGGATGTCAGTGTCTCTGTGAGGGCACGCTTGGAACGTTGCATCCAATTTTCTCACCGCTCCCCAGTTAAAAGGAGAGGGGAGGAAGTGGGAAGGGTCCAGTAGAGAGTTCCCTAGACAGGCATCGGCATCGCCTTCCTCGGGAAGGGGCGGGGGCCGTGGCGCGGGCGGGGGGGCAGCGGCGGGCGGCGAGAGGCTGTCGGCCAGGGCGCGGAGCTGCGCGGCCAGGCGGCCGAGCTCCGAGCCCGCCGGGGCGGCGGTGCGGGGCTGCCGGGAGCGCAGGTGGGCCGCCTCCTCCTCCCTGCGGGGACAGGCGGTCAGGGGCGGCAGGTGAAGCAGCGGCCCCCGCCACCCCCCGGAGCCCCCCTCACCTGAGGCAGGTGCAGGTGCAGGAGATGCAGCGGCCCCCGCCGTCCCGCCTCGCCCACACTCGCAGCCAGGCCCAGGCGCGGTCCCGGCGCAGCACCCGTAGCACCGCGGCCCCCGAGGCGGGCCCGGCGCCGGCCCGGAGCGCTGCGGGCAAGAAGCGACTGCGTTAGGCGGCGGCCCGAGCCGGCGGCAGCCCGCCTGGACACCCCCCAGGCTGCCCGATGAGGTCTGCGGGCGGTCCCTGCTCTGGCCCCAGCGCCACAGAAGCCACGCAGAGAGGAGCCAGGCCCGTAGAAGTCCTGCCCCCCGAAAGAGCTGGAGCTCAAGGGGGCTGGTCCCTCTTCTGTGCACTCAAGCTTGTGACAGGGTGTGACCAATTCCCTGCCTCATCCTTTGGGAGCAGGGAGTCTCAGTGGGCAGGACTGAGTTCGATTTGTGTCTGCTGTCCTGGATAGATATGTTTCAGGCATAGTCAGACTATGTAGCCAGAGGACCGTACACGCGTTCCCGGGCCCAACACTCACCCACGGCCCTGTGCTGAGCAGCTGCCAGATCAACATCCTCAGGGTGCAGGAGGCTGTACCAGGACTGACCGACCAGCTCCTCCTTGCGGTAGCCAAGGTGGTAGGTGACACTGGGGGAGGCAAGGGGAGTGGGGACTGAGTGCCATACAGGGTCCGCACCCTGTCAGCAAGGAGCAGCTGCTGCATGATGGAGGGGAGAGCAAAACAACAGAGGTACAGAAACAAGTTGTAAAGGAGAGAAAAGGGCTGGGATAGTGTCTGTGAGAGTCTCGGTGCTCACACAGTATCTAGCCTGCATCCCATACAAAGGCTTGGTGAAGGGAAATGATTCTTGCTGCCCGAGATGTACAACTGGGGCTCTGGTGCAAGCAGGAACACCTCACCTCTCCGTGACATCAATAAACGTCATGTCTAGGATGTGGGTGCTCTGGAATATGTCATCCTGGGAACCAACTTCGCCATCTGCAGGCGACTGCATGACCGGTGTGCAGAGTGCCAGGAAGGCTGTGGTGGAGGGGGAGGGTGGCCAGCTCAGGGCCACAAAGCGTCCACACACTGTTACGACCCGATTCCCCCCGTGCTTCAGCCGGAAGGCCTTGGACGTGCACATCTCACTGACAAAAGTGACTTCTGCAGGGAAACAAACGATTCTGAGTGGGTCAGGGACTCCCCTGCTCTGCTCCCAGCAGGGCTGGCCCTGGATCTCTGATCACAGCCACTGAGGGCCAGAGCAAGGTAGCAACATCTGCAAGATGCCAGCTGACGCCTCTCTTACCCCTGCCAGGCTCCTCCTGGGCGAGGAGGAGCTTCTTGTACACATCCTCACATGCTTGCCCATCCAGGATGTCAAAGACCGTGTCACCTTGGGCGAGCAGCTCCACCTGACAAAGGAGGGGGCTTCCCTCAAGGACTGTTCCTGTTTTGGTGAGCCTTGGCTGGCACCATGGGCACACAGACCACGGGAGCCACAGCCCAGCATCTGCTCGGGCAGCGTGCTGTGCACACAATAAAGGCACCAGGACAGTGACTGCAAATGCCTAGTGAGCAAGCCTTACCACGGAAAGGCCCAGCACTTGAGCCACGTTCTCCGAGATGTAGACCAGCTTTCCACTGGCCAAGAGCACAAGCAGAAACCCTGGGAGCAGCGAGAGTAGCTCTGTGCCGAGGGCTGGTCCCGCAGGAGGAGCTGAGCCTGCATGGGGATCAGGGTGAAATGCTGTCTTGATGGAACAGGAGCAATGCCCCACACAGATGTAAGATAGTATGGGGTACAGCAGTGCCATGGGTACCTGGAGGGAACAGCTGAGCCCCCCGCAGCCGGAGGCACACCAGGGCCATGGTGTGGAGGTAGGAGAGCCGCTCCTTCTCCCGCATGGAGATGGGCAGCAGGGAACGCAATGCCTGCAGCTCCGCGTTGATCTGGTCCCGGCGAGCCTTGGAGGCACTCTTGGTTGACCTGCAAAGCCAGCCATCTGGGGAGGTGTGTCCAGGGAGGGAAAGGGACAGCATTCCCTGCCTGTTGCTATGGGGAGAATTGTGAGCCCAAGGATATAGAGTGGAGATGCTCAGCACTCATGCCAGCTGCTGCCTCTAGGACAGCAAACCTTGAGTTTCGGTTGAGCTGCTGTTTTGGTGCAGTGGGTGCAGGCAGAGGTGCTCGAGGCTACCCAGGGGGACATGCTGCTGGTGTGGCTGGTGCCTCTCCTGCTGCGGACCAGGTTCGACAACGACCACGTGACACAACCTCCCCACCAAACCCCACAAGGATGGAAATTGCATCCAGTGCCAGAACGTGCACCCCAGTCCACCAGATATGCCTTCCCTCTGGAACGACCTAAAATTCCTCTGCCTCGCCAGCTCCTGCATCTCCTCCCCATGCGCCAGCCCCACTGTCTCAGGCTGGTGTGAGCCTCTCGCAAGGGCCATCAGGACCTACGCCAGCTGATCCAGGGCTCTCTCGGAGGCCATCACAGCCCTGAAAGTGGGAGGTGGGGAGGAGCTCACCTGAATGGCCTCGAGGCCCTGGGCGCCTGCTTGCCCCTCCTGGGCAGGCAGCTCATCTCTGCCTGCAGGGGCTGGTGGCAGTGGCTGCAGAAGATGGTCATACCGCTGGTGCTGGGATGCCTGAAGCTGGCAGGCCTGAACCGCTGCCTCCTTCTCCTCTGGCTGCGGCTGAACCTGCTGACCCCTCTGCTCCCGGCCTCCTTTTGTATCCTCCTGGAGTGCAGAGGCCAAGCCACTCGTGGAGAGAGTTACCTCTTGTGACGCAACTCCAAACAGCTCAGGGCTATTTTTAGAAGGTGGGCTGCTAAAAATAGCCTTGCAGCTGGCTGCAATCTAAGAGGGGAAGTAATAAAAGGAAGCCAGGGTCTTTAAAGCAAACCTGCCACTCAGGAGGGGGCAGTGACAAAGACAGCAGGGATCCCCCTGCATGGCACACATCTGCCCAGCTCCTAGCCCATAGCTGCTGCCAACCCAGCAGAAGGTTCTGTATCTAACCTGTCTGCCTGGCAGCTGCTCTCCAGCATCATTTGTAAGTGAGCTGAGCGCTTCGAGAACGAGCTGATAAGCCAAGAAAATGCACTGAAGACATCTGGACCAAGATGATGAGAAATTCCCATGCTCAGGCCTGCAGCAGGGTCGTGGCAGAGGGACTCAGGGCCACAGCACCCCTGAACCCAAGAGAACCCTTGAAGGAGATTGGGGTGTTGGTGACCCCATTCTTTTCTTCCTAGAGAGGCCTTTACCCCACCAAAGGTTTGCCTTCCTAGAAGCAACTGACATGGGGTGCTGAGCATTTCTAGGGCCTGTTGTCTCCACTTGATGGTGTAGAGATTGTGATTCTTCCCAGAGAAGTCCCAGTGACAGCCATTCATGGACAGAATTGAGAGCATATTGGGGAACCTCTGCTCAGCACCACACTACCCAGCCTAGGGAGTGTGTGTGGTCTGTGGGTGTTTCCTGGTGCCTGGCATCCTGCAAGCTTCATGCTGGGGGGGCAGGGAATGCCATGGCAAAACCCCCACTATTTCATTTCACAGCTTGAGAGAGAGCCTGTGGCTGAGGCAGTTGATTTGAGGAGTTAGAGCTGCTGGACAACAGAGGGTAGATGTCCACCCAGCCCTCACAAGTAACCTGCAGGTGCCAAGGACCACAAAGGAGGAGCTGAGGCCGGGGCTGTTCTCTCTGAGAACTGTCACCACACCTGTCTCCCTCCAGGCCCCAGCCCTGCCACTGATGCTAATCACCCACCACGGTGAGGTGCCGCCAGTGCGTGAAGAACAAGCTCTTGTCACAATTGAAGTGCCTTCTGTTCTCCTGCCAGAGGGTTTTTCACCACTCTCGTGCCACTCCAGACTGCTCCATGGTGCCCGCATTGGCCACCCCTGCAGGTCAAGAAGCCCAGGCACCCAGACAACCTTGTGGTGCTGGATGAGCAGCACTTGACCCTGGTTATGTGCCAGCCTTCTGGGCAGGGCAGACAGCCTGGGCCCTCTGCCACCCATTCCTGGCATGCAGCTGCAGTCATCTCAGCTGCCCTGGAAAACATCCCAGGAAACACCCCGAGTGCTTCCCTAGGCTAATGCTGTCCCTGCATTTAGCCTCACTACAGTTGCCATGGGAGCTCCTCTTCACATAAGACAACCCACATCCACAGAAAGGGGCTTGAGCACAGTGCTCTGTGCCACCCGGGAGGACTGTCCCAGACACCACTCCATCTTCAGCCTTGAAGCAGGAAGCTATAGGGTATCACCTTTCTGAGGCAGCACAGCCCAGGAGACACACACCACTTTCCTCCCTGTCCTCTTGGCAAGGCAGCACAGCCCTGGGCAGGAGGCAGGTACACCAGGGCAGTGCTGCTGTGGAGGGCCCACCTTCCTTTCTGCCACTCCAGCCAGGGCTCACACCAGCCACAGCCTGCTGCTGCCACAAGCCATGAGTGGCCTGCAGCTTTGGGGAAAAGCACCTGGTCCAGTCTCCTCTCTCACACCCTCTTCCCCCAGTTCACCTGCTAGGACACACATAGCAGCAGAAACCGTGTCTGCCTCAGAATTTATAAAACTGCCCCCGATTGCTGTTTTACAATGGGATCTGGGCAGAGAGTCCAGCTGGGCCCAAGCCCCGACTTTGGGGCCTGCCATCCAGTGCCAGGAAGTTGGTCAGCACTGGCAGGAGCAGGTGTAGAGGTTCCTGCTCTCTTGAGGCAATGCAGGAACAGTTCATAGCCTGAGGTCAACCCCAAGGCCAGGGCTGGTGGTAAGAGTTGATTCAGGTCCTTGGAAAGTGGCCGGGGACCATACAGCACAGCTGCAGTTCCACAGGCAAAGGGAAGGAAGATGCTGGAGCCATCAGCAAGGAGAGGGGTCACAGCTGTGCTGCTGGGGCCAGCCAGTTTTTTTTCCCCAGTGGCCAGCTCTGCCTGTACGCTCGTGCTGCCCAAAGCATGATGAGGGCAGAGGGAGGCCTGGCTAGGGCAAGACAAACTGAGCTCACACCTTCCTTGCTTGAAAGGGTTAAAAATTCATGCAGGCAGTGGAGCAAGAGGTCAACGTGTGGAGGGGCGAGGGCAGGGTGGTAGAGGGACAAGTCGGCGTCAGCCCTGGTTGGAGACGATGGGGCGACTGATGGTGCTGTTTGTTGTCATGGCCGAGAGCTCCCATCTGTAACACACCAAAGGGACACACTAAGAGAAAGCATAGACACAGTGCCCAGGGCTGGAGCAGCTTTGCTTCACGTCAGCCTCAGCTGTAATCTCCAACCCAGCCTGCCCCAAAGCCGCACAAGGAAGGCCCCTGGCAGACCTCAGCCAGGGCTGGAGCACCCTGAGGACAGGGATCACCCACAAAGTGACCTCCCAGCAAGGCACACCATACCTGATGTCATGGGGAAGGCAGGACTGGTCCAGGCTGTACTGAATCACTGCTAGCTTACACAGCGTCTTTAGACTGGGACCTGTGGGAAGAGCACAGTCAGCCACAGCAGTCCTCATCTGGACACCCTGGGGGGGGCCAGCATCATGCAATCAATGCTACAGGAAACAGGGCAGAGCACCCTGGCCATTGCTCTCAGGGACAAGGCAGAATGCAAACCAAGGGCTGTCTAGAGCAGTTTTCTACGCTGCCACAAGAAGTCTGTGTGCAGGAGTGCATGTAACACAGCTGCACCTCTGGCTGGTCTGCCTTTAATCCATGTACACTTGTCAGAGACAGCTGTTTGGCTCTGGGATACATGCAGGGCACAGTATGGTGCTTCACAGCAGGGCCTGCTCACAGGGCACTTTGTGGCAAGAGGTGCAGACTGGGCAGGGCGTGCTCACGTACTGAAGTCGAGGATGTAGAGATCTGAGTGATCCATCAGGTCGAATTCATCACCCATTCCCTCCTCTGGAGATGGGCTGCAGAAACCAAGCACAGTGTGTCAATCAGTGCCAACATTTTTTTTACACCAGTTACAGTCCCTTGGGCTCCCCAACGGCTGAGCAAGTCTCATCCCTCCTGCCCCTCTGATGCTCCCAGCAGCACTCCAAGTCATCACTTTCACAGTTCCTCGCAGAGCAGGCAGAGCTACACACAGCCAGGGAGCAGAAACACACACCACCTCCCTGCAAGCGGGGGATGGGGGACCCACCTCCTTGTCAAAGATGACCATAATGATTCCAGCTGTGAACCTCACCTCACCTGCCTCTGTTACTTTGCTGCACCTCCAAACACAGGTCCCACCCTGCAGGGGACAATTCTTTTCCCTTCTTGTACACTGACCAACCTCTAACTGGTTTCACTCTCCTCCAGGTACCTCCCAAACTGCCCTCCAACACGTGAGCAACCCTGGGGCTTTCCCTGGAAATGTGGCACCCAGCCTCACGGCTGCCTCCATAACTGAAGCATTTCAAGGCTTTATTTGCTCAGCAATTTCAGTGGATCCAACCCTCCAAAGAGCTCCACTCAGAGAGACAAAGCAGATCCCCAGGACAAGGCTGAGAATGACTCTGAGCAGGCTGGAGAAGGATGTCACAGCAGCTCCTGAAGGCAGGCATGCATGCTTGCACAAGCATCTGTCCTGCTCCTTAGGAGATAAACAAGCCCCATGGGCTGCTCCACAGCTGCCAGGGCCAGACAGGCTGGCATCACCTGGAGAATCAGTTCAGTGCTGGAGACTAACCAGCTTCTCACCTATGCTGTATCATGGAAGGCTGCCTTAGTAACATGTTAGGACACACATACAGATCAAACTTCCCAAGCAGGCAGGATCAGCTCATCCCCACCTGGTCCCAAACACCACATGGGGCAGCATGACACAGCCCACACTGTGCTTTTTAGAGACCTCCGGCCAGCTTCGCCTCACAGCCAAGGGAAGGCATGGGAAGCAACGGGGAGCACAAGGATTTGGGAAAACATCACATGGGACAGGCATTTGATCTAGGAAGAATCTGACACCACACAATGGCAAACTACAAAGACCAAAAAGCTGTGCTGGTATCCCTAATGAGGCAGGAGAGAGAAGTTGGAGACCCAGCAGGGTTACCTGCATTTCAGAAGTCTGTAACTGAGCACTGAGCAGTGCAGCAGTCATTTTAAACCAATTCCAATTTGCTGATACTCTCATCTGATGCTGGTCCTGGAATGCTAATGAGGAACTCTGACTTCAGACATTTCTAGGGAACAGACAGTCTCACTTATAGTTTCCTGCTTCTGTGGTCTTGATGGAATAGCCAAAGCACCTGAGAAAAAACTGGACATCCCGTAGCACAGAGAGACTGACTGTGCTGGAACAGGAGTGCCTGGACCAGGGGAAAGCATTCCCTTGGCTGATGGTTGTTTGGAGAATTTGAAAGAAAAGAAAGGTCATTTAAGTCCTGCTTTGGTTTGCAGTGGACCAATTTAGGGTGCCCCTCACTGCTTAGCTAGGAATGACCTCATGCAGTGACTTCTTGCCCCAGTGCCATCTGTTTCCCCACCTATCTGTGACCCACTAAACTTCACTTCTCAAAGGACATGAGGCAGTACCTGCCTCCCCAGGTTCCCATAACCCCAGGCCAAACTGCAGCACACAGCTCCCTGCTGTCTGAGAGGACCTGTTGCTGATGGGACCCATCTGCCCGGATACAGGCAAGAGCCCCTTTAATTCCACCCCTGTGTGCTTACTACATCACAATCTAATCTCACATCCACGTCACAGGAAACCCTAGACCATCCCTTATCTATCAAAGGAAAGCCAGCAGGCACCACATCTGTGGTTTTAATCACCAGAAGGCAAGCCTGGAGTTCAAGACCAGGAGTCATCAACTCCCAGGGTGCAGGGCATGCCTTTGTCAGCCAGTTCCCAGCCAAACAGTTTGTTCCAGCTGCAAAAAAACGTGCCCTGCACTAAAGCACTCAGCAAGAGCCCCTACTCCCTCACCAGAGCCAGGCATTTCTAAGCTTTGTCAGGGAAAACACAGTCTCAAGCCAAATCTGGATTGGCATCTCTCATCTGTCCAGCTGTTTCATCTGTTCAGCAAAACTCTGCTTTATAGCATTCCTTCTCCCTTGTGGATGGTCTCTGCATGCCAAAGTGCTGGTGGGTTTGGGAGGAAACCAGACCAGGGCCACAACTGTGCCACAGCTAACGGGAACACTGAGCTTCCTGGTCACTTAAACAGGACACAAGTGATGGATTGCTCCTGGCCACAGCGAGAGATCACAGCTGGGACAAAAAGATGAGGCTCTGGGCAGGACTACAAAAGAAGCAAAGCATTTGGATGCCATAGGAGCAGGCAACCTGCAGATTGCCTCTTCAACAGTCTACAGGACATGTGAATCCTTTTAAGAGCAGGCAGGACACAAAGGAGTTTTGCCTGCCCAACCCCCAGCACTGACACCTAGAAAGCTGAGCCTGCCGGCTCATCCTCTAAGGAATCCTGATGGATCTCCTGCACTGTGTGATCCCCCTCCCCCTTCCCAGCCAGAGGAGCACAGGTCAGGAGGCAGACCACTGGGAGTTCTCCATTACAATGACTTCCTGGAAAACTTCTTATCTTGCCAGGCAGCTTCAGAATACACCTGATAACTGTTACAGGAAGCCAGCACGGTCCCCACCCCCATCTCCCACTTCCCAAGCTTGCAAGACCCTCCCTCCAGTTCAAGCAGGCTGCATCCCTGGCTGCCTGCAGCTCTTCGTACCCCTCACTAGTGCTGATGAACATGCCTGTATTGGTGTTGAGCCTGAATTAAGAAACAAGTTCAATTCTGAAGTGATTCAATGGAGAAGAAAAGGCACTGCTGAATTGCCTGGCAAGGGTGGACCAAAGTCCAAAAAGCTGGTGTCAAATTTTCTGTGGTTTGCTTGCATTTCCTAGGAGTGCCAAGGCTTAACATCAGCTGCTGCTGTAACACAAGTCTACATACACTGCAGCATCTGGGTCCATCCAAAACTACCGTAAAGCCCTACCAAGCCTTCTGCTGTACCAAGCAGGACCAGTATCACTTGAAGACACTGGATAAACTCAGCACCTCTGCATACCTCACCTGTACTAAGCACTCCCTCACAGCCACTTGGACATCCTACAACTAAGCACACATCTCCAGCACTCCTGGAAACTGAAGGCCCTTCACCCTATCACACACTGGTATGGTCAGGCCACCAGCAGAACCTGCTCTGCCTGGTTCTCTGCCCCAATCTTCAGAACCATTCTCAAAAAGCTGCTGCCAGAATCCCAGAGAAAGCTCTAAAGGTTTCCAAACCATGCAGAGGGTTGAAAGCACTTAAACTGCCTCTGCAAGGTGGATACTGGGAAACAGGCCTGTGCTCTGGAGCTGCAATTTGTCATTCTAGAGAGCATAGAGTGTGTCCTGGTGATGGGCCACTTCCTTTCTTTTAGCAGCTGCTAAGGCTCTTGGCTACATCCAGCTGTCTTGCACCCTGGCAGTATCACTCCCAGTGTTTGACAGCTAAATTCATAACACCAGGTTCCTCTTGTGAATGGAAGTGTTGCTAAGGAACAATGGCACAAGAAGGAACGTTGTCTTGTCATGTGTATAGGCTCCTCAAATAGCTCCCAGCTGAGCCAACATCCCACTGGAGCTTAGCAGAACCCACACTTGCCAGTGGAAGAAAGAAACTCTGGTGGGCGAATCAGGGCACCACATAGGCAAGGATAATCAGCATGAGGTCTGCTACAGCATACCAGGCTAAGACGTGTCCTTCTGATGGCAGGACCTCCTCCCTCATCCCCACTACCTTTTTCACAGAAAGCGTGACTGCACAACCCCTCTGGAACAGCACGTTACACACTTCTGTCTCTGCACGTACCAGATGGCTTGTCATCGGGTGCTTTACAAGCTACATGACACCTTCAGTCTCCTCCATGGCTTTTTTCCAGAGGAGCCCTGATGTACATGATTGCTTTCACTTGTCAGATAATGGACAGTTGCCATGTAACTCTGAAGTCCATCTGACTCTGCATGGGGCAGAGCGTGGAGGGACACTGTGCTGAAGGAAATGGCAAAGCCTCTCGCACAGCCTCGCCACACAACTCACCTGGTGCCTCCAAACAGAATGATTTTGTCCCCCACTCTGCAGCAGCACTGCCGGCGTCGAGGACATGGGCCTTTCCCCTTGGGTTCAATCTTCCTCCAAGAAAGAGAAACTAATCGGAAGAAAAGAGTGCACCACCTTGTCATGAGAGCCTGACCAAGCCCATGTATGAGCAGGTTATGGATTTAAACATCACAGCAAAACCAGAGGCCTACTTCTCCACACACAGCAACTAGCCAGTAGCCACCTTTTCCCCTTGACCTCTTCACCAGTGGCAAAAAGATGCACTTCTATGAGGTTGTTACTGAAGTGTCATTTAAATGCCAGACACAGTCCTGAAGTTCTGCCTGCTGAGACAGTACTCTCAGGTCATGTCATAGAATGGTCTGGGTTGAAAAGGACCTTAAAGATCATCTCATTACAACTCCCCTGCCATGGGCAGGGACACCTCACACTAGATAAGGTTGCTCAAAGCCCCATCGAGGCCTTTCAGTCACAAAGCCTGAGCGCCAGGACCCACGGGCTGCCACAGCAGCGGGTCAGACGTCACAGGGAGCTGCACAGGGGTGAGATGCAGCAGCAGATAGGCAGCCTCCCTTCCCCAGCACCCTGCTGCGGTCCGGATCCGGAGGGACATCCAGGAACGAGCTCCATCTGCCGGCAGCCTGCGATCACTGAGCGTCTGGGCAGAGGGTAGGCTGCTGGGACAGCTCGGCTGATGGAGGAGGGAGTGGAGAACCGAATCATGTGGAGACAGCAGCCTTTGCCTTTGCTGCTTTCTGTGGCAAGGATGCTGGGGGTTGACTAACGCAGCACTGAAGCCTTCAGGAGCTCTGACACTAGCTCACTGATCAGTTTGGGGAGCAGCAGGTTGCCTGCTCTCAGTTAACTTTACTATGCAAAGCAATTAGCAAACAAAATCAGTAGGGACTGCAAAAAGTGCCTGAGGACCCCAAAATAGCTCACAGTTGACTGATATTCAGGGTACCAGCTGAAGAACACCCCTTCTGCAGTACAGTTTGACCTGGTACCAAGAGAGTGTGGTATGATGATCCTGGAGCTCAAGTTGAATGGTTTCCCCAACTCTCTCCCTCCTCTAACCCCACTGCTTTGTCCTATTTTCTCTTCTGCCAATTCTTCTGCACATTTAAGAATAAGATGAAGTTTTCCAATGAACGGTGTCTTTCAGCAATAAAGTCTTTCTTTAACTTTCCAACTGAGATTTGAAAACACCCTGAGGAGGAACAGGGGTCCCAAGCACAGTAGCCAGTTCCCATCAGTGGTATCAGAAGAGACCCTCAAGCAGTACTCTTTGGAGAGTAAGCTCCTCTGAGCACTCACACGCCTAAGGGCCTGGAGCACTATCACTGCAACAAGTTAAAAGCATGAATACCTGGATTGAATTTCCAGAGGTCGTGGAAGTGCCTGTTCAGGCGTGCATTGTAGCCACCAAATACATATAGCTCCCCGTTGTAGCTGACTGTAGGGAATAAGCATAGGCATCAGCATGTCACTCAGCAGGTCTCTGGCCCAACATCAAACACAAAGCAAAGTGGTGCTGGGTTGTTCACCTTCGCTTACACCACTTTCACGTGCAGGGTTATGTGCACGGCTTTTCAGGGGGCAGCAGCCTTCTACAGAAACTGGGCTTTGTGCACCCCTTGCTAACCCACATCTCCACCCAACAGACCAGACAGTCCTTCTGAGGCAGGTAGAAATTTCCTTTCACCATCCTCCACCCTCAGCAGACCCACACTCACATGCTGAATGGCTCCGCCGGCCTTCAGGCAGCACGGGAGTGGGAGGGGAGTCCAGCCAGGAGTTTGTTTCTGTATCAAATACTTTGATGCGGTTACAGTAGATCTCATTGTTGGAGTGAAATGGCCCAAAACGATCAGCTCTGCCACCAAATACGTACATCTTTGTTCCAATGATTGTAGCTGAATGGAAGTCTCTCCAGCGAGCTGGAGTACCCTGAAGGGACAGAGTAAAACAGAACAAGAGAAAGAATGCAGATTACTCAGGGATATGACACATCTTGATGGGGAAGTTGGGTGGCTGCCTTCTCCTGGAGAATTCCCATCCTGCAGATCCCTGCCACATCAGACAGAGGCTGTGAGACAAGTGTGGGCAGCTACCCCAGAGAATAGCAGATGCAAGACTTCCTCCACAAACCACAGTGAAAAGCAGACACTGACCTTGGCAGAGATTAAAGTCCACATCATATTTGTGGTGTCCAATTTATGGATATCGTTTGAAAAGCAGTCAGCCTGAAAGACAGCAGAGCAGCCTGGTCACAAAGGGACTGAGAAGTCTGATCACATCTGGCCCCAGGAAGGATGCTGTCCTACAGACCTGGGACATTGTCTTTGAAGTCAGTACCTCCTAAGAAACAAAGTACTTGCTCCAAAATGTCAGGCAGTATACTTATCACTTAACAAGAGGAAGGCAAAGCCCATTTATTCTCAAAGTTGTCCCGTCTCTTCCTGCAGCTTTCCCATTTATTTGGTGATCAGTTCCTCCCCCAAAGACTGTCCTGCACACAATACATTCACAGCAGAAACCTGCCTCCTCTCCATGTAAGCAACAGAAGAAAAAGGCACTAACAGGACAGGCAAATTGGCTCTGGTAAGGCCACCCAATGAGAGGCAGAAGCTAAGATTACTTCTGGGAAGCTAAACATACAGGAACAAATATACTCTGGGTTCTGAGGTCCCATAAGACCCATCTGCAGCTAGCTGCCTGGAAGAGATTGCACTCACACAAACAGTGTGGACTCCTGCTCTTCCAGGGAGGGGAGAGAGCAGCAAGACAGTCAGATGCTTATTTGGTCTTAGTTAAAAACAAACTGCATTTGAACTGCTCCTGCTGCTGTAATCAAGATCATGGATTTGGTATGCCATTGTCCTCAGTAAAGGGTGAATAACCCAGAGACTGCTGTAACAGAGCCCCAGCTTACTTCCAGATAAGCAGATGTGACTTTGCACAGCTTCTCTGGAGCCTGGTGATAGGCTGAAATGATATTTTCCCATTTCTTAAGATCAGAAGATAAGGATTTGCTCAAAAGATCATTAGACACACTAACAGCTACTGCAGGATGACTGACTCAGGGTATGTTTAATGGGAGGGCAACCAGGTGTTTGCTGGAGGAGATCAACAAGATGTCAGAGCAGGTACGGACTACAGGGAACATGCAGCAGACTAGGACAAAACCTCACAGCAACACCCCAGACACTGGAAAGTTATTTTTCTGTCTCATTTTTCAGCCAGAAAAATTGAAATAAATGTACATCAGTATATATTTATTAAAAATTATGTGTATTTATCTATCAAAATTTATCTGAGAAATGAGCCAGAAAAAACGATATAAAAAAATATTTATATTGTTACCTCTTTATGGTAAATACGTGTTATGGGGGAAAAAAGAATCACCTTTTTTTTAGGCTTGCTTTTCTAACCATCTTCTCCACAAAACAATGAGCATAACCTGGGTATTAATGCCATGACTTTGCTAAGTTACAAGATGAAAGCGACTATGAATACAAATACGCCCCCATATCCTGCCTCTACCAGTGTCCTGGGTATCAACACCCTCTTTTCCCAAGGGCTCACCAATTAACAGTTACAGAGACTACTCACCAGCTGTTCATAGCCTCCAAAGATAAACATGCTCTTTGCCAGGACACAAGCTGAGTGCCCATCTCTTGCTCCTGGGACCATTCCAGACACCTTTGGCGTAAACCACTTGTGCGTGTCTGAAACAAAACAAGAGGCTGAGAAAAAACACACAGCAGGTGTTGGGATGGGATAGTTCTTTACTACTGCTCTTAATTTCTAAGACAGAGATCCTTCTCTCTTTCTCACAAAGCACCTGCTCTGCTAGAGAGGCTGCAAGCTTCTTCAGGCAAGGCTACCTGCCTGAGTCTCCACAGAGGGGCACAGTGACAGAGGCCTCAGCCTCTGGGCATGGCCACTGACTGCCAGAGCTGGTAAAGAGCTCGCATTTTAAGTGTGAGTAGTACAGCATACTTGAGCACCATTATTTCTACTGAATCTCTCGCAAAGCATACTTGTGAGTCACTTACCAGCTCTGCATTTACAGTTTCAATTACAATGAAGCAATAATGCTAAGTGGCTCAACTGCCCTCATGGCATGGAGATGCTGACTAACTGACTCAAGAAAAATAGCTCTCAAATGCAGGCAGTTAGCCACAAATTGCCGTGCACATCCCTACCTCTGCAGTGCAGCTCTCCCTATCTTGTCTGCTCCACTTGTTACATTCTCATCCCCTCTTCAAGGGGAGACTTCCTCACTTTCCACCCTTCACAGTGCTCCTTGTCAGCCTACACCGACCAGATTCAGTCCTTTAGCCTGCATACTCCAAGGGTTGGCTCGATTTAGGGCATGACTTTAAATCCACCCGGAGCTGTTCTCCATGCCAGGGCAATTTGGAGCTAAGCCAGCGACTCACTGCCAAGCGCAAACAGGCACCTGCTCCAAGAGCCCTGAGAGACACAGATAAGCCTCAAGGCAGCAGGAGACATTCCTCCCACCCTCCCTAACTGCTGTGAGCTGTCAAAAGCAGTGCTTATTTCAGGAAGTCATAACACTGAATCCAAAGCAACATTCTTCATGAGGATAACTTCTCTGAACTTGGCCTGCAGACACAGCTATCCACCTATACTCCATTTGGAACTACACATACGGTCTTGCAAGGTCAACAGAACCCCTGGGCAGCCTCTACTGAGAAAGGTCCAGTGGCTATCAAGTTCCTTTCCTTCATGGAGCCGCTTCCAAGCCCAGTTATACGATAACAGCAACAGCTCATCCAAGTGCAATATGTCAAATTAGAGATGGAAAAGACCTCAACTTGTGCTGAGCACCTGAGGGACAAAACTGCACTCAAACAGGACTTTATCCAGCCTGATACAACTTTTCAGTGGAACTTACACTGCAGACATGGCACTGTGACTGCCAGTCTTGCTTTCCAGGAACGGCAGGGCTCAGTGTGTACAGACAGCTGCAGAGGGTTTGGACTAGGACTGAAGTCTGGCCTGTTAATTTTCACATAATGCTAAAGTGCAGGAGTTGGCAGGGAGACCAGGCAGCTCCCACTACAATGCCTCTGTGTAGGCAGAGGTTTGCTGATGGCTTCTGAGCTGCATGAGTCAGGAGAAGAAGGAAACCCTGTGCCCCAAGCTCTAAGATATTTCCTAGTAAAGAAGAGAGCCCATGACCAAGCACCAGAGCAAGCGGTTTCCTTCCAAGTCCAGGAAGACAGTTACTGGTCACTGTTTAGATGGACTTGCCTCCAGAATCCAGATATACTCTCTTCCTTTCCTGATACTTGTGTTCACCCAGTTTCTGATGGTGCCTTTTCTTCAAAGATGCTCCAGCAACACTACGGAGAAGCCAACCAGAAGGTTCAAGGAGTTTATTTTTCAGGTTTCTCTAACTTGAGTCATGCCTTCCCTTATTTTGCTATTCTGTCCCTCAACTACTCCTGTGCTTTATTCCTTACTCTCCTTCATGCTTTCACAAAGAAGGACCACACTGGAGAGGAACTGCAATCCTCAAGAGCTCTAGCTGCTTCTTGCTGTAACCTTTGCCACAGTTAAGGAATAATAAATCACACAGAGAGAACGTTTCAGTCGTAGTTACTCTCAGAAGTGCACACAAAGGTGATAGGAAAATTAAAACCATTTTGACTATTAGACAAGATCAGTAACCTCTGTTCAAAGGCTTTTACAAAGATTCAAGTATGCAGACACAATGGCCACGCTGCTCCCCTTCTAAATCTGCTGAAACAGCCTGTGACACCATTTCCCCCAAACTGTCACTGAGGGACAGGAAAACAAGCTGAGGAGCAGTGTGGTGTGGCAGAGAGAAGGTCTGATCAAGAACAGTTAAGACAATGAAGAGTGAGAAGCTGAAACTTACTGACATCAAAAGCATAGAGCACATTGCAGGCTCCTTCTGTGTCGTTGCGACCACCCCATATGTAGACGGTGTCATCGATGAGCACTGCTGAGTGCCCATACCTCATGTAGGGCACCTCCCTCACGTGGTCTCGGCTGTTTGTCCACACTGGAGGCAACTTGATCCAGCGTAGAGACACTGAAAACACAAGTTTGAGCCCATGTCAAATGCTAAGCCTGCTACATTGCTCACAGGTCACAACCCATCCTGCATGGAGCTTTTTTCCCCCATGACAAGGTGCAGAAGCAGTCAAGTAAACAAGAGAAAGCTGTGTCTGACCCTAAGTAGTAGCTAATTAGGAAATACAGAAGGAGGTCCTCTGGAGGAGCAGAGGAGTCTGTATAGAGATGGGCTCTGTTCTGCAGCAATTCACTGAAAAGGCTCTGGCTCATCCTAGACTGTGAGTGAAGATACACAGCACACACAGAAAAATAGGGAAAGGAAAAAGTGCAGAGATGACAATGAATGCAGACAATGCTCCAAGCTAGTGACGTTGTTGAGGAGACTCAAAGCTGGAAGAATGAGCAGCACAGGAATAATTCACTGTAGTAACATGCAAGGGAACTTACCTGAAGGCACCACTTGGACTTGCAGAAGCTCAGTTTAAGTAAAGCAAAACAGCAGCTTTGCAGGAACAGGGTTTGTTTGCTTTTGTTTTGTTTCTCAAGCTATAGATGAGATGGCTGTCTGTCTCCTATCATACTATATTCTACCTTCTTGCCTATCTATACCCAAGTTCTCCCTAGTAACCTTGTGTTATTAAATAGGAGTTCCTTGTGATTACAGGTTCTCCTTCCTGGCAGCCTGTGTGTCGTGTTGACTGCTCTGGCTACTGCTGAACAGGTATTTACAGGGCTTAATGACAGTGCAGGAATAACAGCAAGTGTTACATGGCCATTACATAAGAGCACCAAACATTCTATCTCATGTAACAGCCTCTAGGTTTGTTTTCTATGTGGAGCTAACATAAAATATAGCAGAAAACTACAGTTCATCTGAAATACTAATACAGGGAAAGGGAAAAGGTCAGCCCTCTTAAAAGGTAAGCATTTACCACACAGGCAGAAAGGGCACAGAGGAAGCACAGCCAATGCTAAAGTCAAGCTAGACCGGATGCTCCCTATCTACAACATAGTCTTCATCTTCGGAAGACTGAAAGAGATTATTCAAGATCTGGTATTTTGGCTTTAGCACTGAAACCTGTCAATGCTAACTGAGCAAGGGCTTGGGAGCCACTGCCACCTCCCACGTGGTGGCTGCAGCATCAGGACACTTTAATATTTGGGAGTGGTAAGAAGGGAAGCCAATGCAAGAGCATTCCTTTGGGCACAGTAATTATGCTTCCCCATAAGAATGGTGCTCTACTGGCACGTTCTACAAGATGCAACATTCAGCTGTGTTGAGTGTGAGAGAGCAGTCTCTCTGGACAGAGAAGAATGTTTTTGTTTACAGGATCCTGAGCTACACTTCCCTCTACACTGTGAGCAGGTCACCTTGGCAGCTCTGTGTAACCAATGCCTTTATCCCTGCTGTACACAGTCTTAAAGAAGTGAATTCATTGCATCTTACAGGTAAACTACCTTTATCTACATGCCACATGGGTGTTAGCAGAGCATTCAGCATCCTGTTCAGTCTGCAAAACTGGTCATTGGTTCTCTGTTCTTGGCTCTGTTTAGCCAGATCCATCCAAGAACCCCTGCAGTTTTTTAACCACCTGCCTAATTACAGGGAAAGATTTCATGGACCAACTTGGTAACCTTTTCAGTTCAAAAAGCACTGAATCAACAAATACAGCCTCTGCCAGCACAGCCATGACTCCAACTCAGCCTCATGACAGGTACTGGCTACCCTACACAAACAGCTCTAGTTCCAGATGCTTTTCTAAGCTATGTTGTGAATCTGCATGATAGCTGCTTCCAAAACGGGAAGGTCTCCATCCCAGCCACACGCCCCTATGGACTCCATCATGTTGGCAGCAGTTGTCACGTGCCCTCACAGGGAAACAGCTCAGGAGCCTAAACCTGGAATCTTAACTGAGTGCACTGGCTCCCACTCTACTCCTTCCACACTACGGGCAGCTGAGCATGGACCTGGAGGGGGAACCTGTACCAGCTACATATCACCTCTTTGCACCTGGCTAAGATAGCATTCACAGAGCACAATGACAAAAAGTGGCTATGTGGCTACTTCTAATGCGTCCTTACCCCAGCAGTCTGCTGAACTACAACACATCTGTGCCCTGCCCCTGAAGTTGAAAATACAAGGCTGCACAAGGAAAGAGGCTCCCATCTACTCTGATAATTTTTTTGGAAGTTACAGTCAGACAGCATATTACAGTTAGGCAGCGCCAGGCAAGAAAAACTAATAATAAGCCCAGCAAGCTAACTCCTTTGCACACCACAAGGACGCATTTACCTGCATTAAAAACGTGGACGTCAATCTGCCGCAGGGTCTCATAGTCTTCTCCAGAACAATATCCGCCAAAGGAATAGACCTTGTGTCCGACAGCCACGGCTGCGTGGTTCACCCTCCGTGGCCCACCTTCCAAGTGCACTGCCCACCGTAGCATTCCTCCCTGCAAGCCAAATGGTCTTCAGGGCCCCCAGTGCCACAGCCACATGCTTCCTGGGCCACCACGATGTCACCTGGCTCTGAGAGAGAATGCTAAAATAACGTGATCCGTCTCGCAAGTCTTCCTGTCTTTCTTGAATCCAGTACAAAGGTTACATTGCTGTATCCTCATTCACCTGCATCCCAACTGGAGATAGTTTTACTCTCACCTTGGGAACAGGATACAGGGCAGGTATCATAACTGAGCAAGGCTCAGAAGAGCAGGCAGAGATGCCCTCACATACAAAAAACCCTCAGGGCGGCTGTAGAGGCAACCCAAGCCAAACACCTTTGGCGAAGGCAGCCAAGTGCGGCGCGCCTGGCCGCGCCCTGGTCACGCACACATCACGTACACATCAGAACCATTTGTCTGCATGAATGAAAACACACAGCAAGAGCCAGCTGTGAAGGTGAAAGGAACAAAGCCAGAGAGAAGAGAGCATGCTCTTTGGATCAGCTGTGAGAAACAACAGGGGAAAATATTAAAACAAAACATCCAACAAAAAACCTTCAAAGAATCACCCCCACATAAAGCAACCAACTTCCCATTATGGGGGTGGGCAACAACACCAACATTTGGCCTCGCTGACTTGAGTCCTACGGTCCAATCTAATTAGACACGAGAGAGCAGAAGCCCCCTAATCTAGGTGGAAAGCTCTTTGTTAATGCTCAGAAAAGGCCTTTTTCTCCCACAGCAAGTCGAGGCATAACTATGAAAATTCTCTAACATCATATCTCTGTTAAACAACTGATATGCTTCATTCCTCAAACAGATGGCTTAGATCATATCTTAGAGAAGTCACCACAGTTCATTCTTGCAGAGATTCTCCTTTAGATCTTGGAATCTAGAGCAGAGTTCCACCTGGGTGCTTCTGAAAAAGCAGGGCAGTTTGATTTTTAACAGTTTTCTCCCAACTGAAAAACAGCCAATAGAAGATATGTCAGTGTTTCAAACAGCATTAAAAAAATTGTCTTTTTTTTATTTCTTGGTTCTAGGTTATTGAAAGATGCAGTCAGCACACTCTCACCCCACACCCAGTTTTTGCATTTGTAGAATCCAAAGAAATCTGGGGATGCTTCTGAACAAGGACTAAATTCCTACACATACATAAAATTGCTACACTCTGTCCCTTTTCTTTTTGGAAAGTAGTGAGTTTTCACAAGGAGAACTTTCCTCCTCTTTCAAGTTTCTGAAGTAACTGGAGGGCAAGAAGAGGGGGCAATGCCCCCAGCCCTTCAGTCAAGTGTAACCGCTGCTCACAACCAGGCCCATCAATAGCCTGACCACCACAGTGCCTGGCCCACCCACACGCTCCCATTTTATCCACACCCATATAAAGAGTCAGAGATGCCATCAACAGGGAGCTCCTGGCATGGGGCAGACAGAGCTCAGGCTTCCAGCTTCATCCACTCATTCTACAGACAGTTCAAAATCATCCAGTAATCAGTCACCTCATTCCAGAACTCCCAGATCTCATAAAAAATTGAGTAGCTTCTTTTTAAAGTTATTTCTTTGTCAAATTGTTTTCAAAATAGAGACTGGCAACCAGAGCATGTTCTGTACCTGAAAATTTTACAACAAAAGGACATGTGCAAAGCCCAACAGAGAGCATCCTGAAGCCTTCCTGTAACAGATGAGTGCAGACCCCGGAGTCCCTCCTGCAAACCCACTTCCTCCTGCAGCACCTACCCTAACCTAAATTGCAGTTAATAACCTAGGAAGTCACATCAAGCTTTTCTCCAGCAGAGGTGCTCCAGAAGGGCCCAGAACAGCCCTTGTCTCCTACAAGCCATGCTTCGATTTCAGATCTAGCAGGTTTGGGTTTTATTTCTCAAGTTACTACCTTTTTTTAAGCCAGGCAGCACACTTGTACAAGCCCTCTGCAAAGCTACAGAATAGACAAGTTTCCATGGAGCCCACCAAAGTAACCTTTCAAGCTTTTTTTGAAGGCCTCGCATTTCTAAATCTGTTTTCTGCCTCAATCAAAAGTTATTCCTGAAAAATCTAACCAATGTTTTCCTCAAAATCTCTTCTTGGTTAAGTGATTCTGTAAAGGAGCTTAAGTGGACTTTATCACCAGCATCAGTGTTTTCAACGCCCTTCAGACTGAGCCTGATCCAGGAGGACCAAGAAGATGAATCTTACTTCTAAGTTCTCTGCTTGGTTCCTTGTGTGGAGAAGCACAGCTGCCTGGCATGGCAGGCACACATCATACCAAGCCCCCTGCCTTTTTTGTCAGAAGGGCTGAGAAAACTCTTCCTCGCCCTTGGGAATTCACTCAAGCCAGGTGAAAGGAGCTCACTGCTGCCAGAGCAGGATGCTGGTCCTGTCACTGCCACAGGAGCCAGCTACCCTGCCCCAATAGTTTCGTCACTCAGATCAGAAGGCAGCACATCCCAAGATGGGCCACTGAGAAACAGCTCCAGGCCCGGCCTGTGGCACTGCAGGAAAGATGCTGAGGTTATAGCAATAATGTTGAAACATTGTTTCCTACAACTACTGAGAACGTTTTTCCCAAGATAAGCCCTTCCCAGGTGACAGGCAGGTCCAGGGGGTGGCAAGGGCAATGGGGTTGAAGTCGGTTGTGCTTTGCCTTGGCTTAGGCTGGGGATACCCTTCAGAGCAAACACAGAGCTCTGCCAGCACAGCCTCCTGCAGCACCTCCTCAGAGCCACAGCATGCAAACACTCACTTGAACACTTCATGAAAAGAGAATGACCACAAGTGCGAAGCGATCTTTACAGCGATGTATTAAAAGGCATGGGAAAACACAGGATTTAACAAGCTGCCACGGTTTTTCCAAACCCAACTGCTCTCCTCTACACTGTAATAAAAATATCAATCCAGACTCCCATCTTCCTCTTCTGCCACGAGCCACACTACCCTGAAACTGTTGTTCACCCCTTTCCAACCACGCACAGGTCCTCCCCCCACCTCCTCTCTGCACAGCCCTGTCTTCTGAGGATGCCCTCCCACACTCCTACCCTTGCTTTCTGCACCCAGCTCCAGACTCTCCTATCCTGCCTTTTTTGGAATTGTTTCGTTAGACCAGTCTTCTGTCCCAAAGCCAGTTTTCCTCCTGCTAGTCCCCTCTGAGCACTGTCTGCAAATATGAGTTAAACACATATTTTGAGAAAAAGTTTTCTGTCCTACAGCCATGCACACTGTTAAGTTCCATTTCAAGTTTTGATTTCCAATGATAATTTATAGGATATAAGTGATGACATAAACACACCACTTTTCAACCTCATTCCTATGAAGACTTCTTAATAGGAGGTACTAATACACTTGACATTAAGCTGTGCATTAGATTTCTTTAAAGATCACATAGGACACAGCCAGGGAAAGAGGAAAACAGCAAAACTGACTTCCCCCATTTGTATAACATTAGATTATGCAAAGTACATCCGGTGATTTCTCATCTAGGACACCAATAACAGGGATGTAGGCTGCAAAACACAGAAATATTGGTAAGACAGTGGCAAATTTTATTAGAGAATTGGGAGAGCACCGGTTGCAGGAGGCAGCACACAGAATCACAGAATGGTTTGCGTTGGAAGAGACCCTAAAGATCATCCAGTTCCAACCCCACTGCCACGGGCAGGGATATCTTCCACTAGACCAGATTGCTCAGAGCCCTATCCAACCTGGCCTTGAACACTTCCAGGGTCAGGGCATTCACAACTTGTTTGGGCAACCTGTTCCAGTGCCTCACCACCCTCACAGTACAGAATTTCTTCCTAACATCTAATCTAAAGCCCTCTTTCAGTTTAAAGCCATTCCTCCTTTTTCTATCACTACATGCCCTTGTGAAAAGTCCCTCTCCAGCTTTCCTATAAGCCCCTTTTAGTTACTGAAAGGCCACCATAAAGGTCACCTTTGAGCCTTCTCTCCTCCAGGATGAACAACCCCAGCTCTCTCAGTGTTTCCTCACGGGAGAGGTGCTCCAGCCCTCTCATCATTTTCCCAGCCCTCCTCTGGACCTGCTCCAACAGGTACTTTCTTATACTGAAGACTCCACAGCTGGGTGCAGCACTCCAGGTGGGGTCTCACCAGAGCAGAGCAGAGGGGCAGAATCATCTCCCCTCAACCTGCTGGACATGCTGCTTTTGATGCAGCCCAGGGTGCCATCGGCTTTCTGGGCTGTGAGTGCACATTGCTGGGTCATGTCCGGCTTTCCATCCAACAGTTCTGCTAAGTCCTTCTCAGAGCTGCTTTCAATTCCTTCACCCCACAGCCTGTACTAGTACCAGGGGTTGCCCTGGTTTAGCATCTTGCCCTTGGCCTTGTTGAACCTCATGAGGTTCCCCAGGGCCCGCTTCTTGAGCTTGTTCGGGCCCACCTCAGGCAAACCAAGTGCTTTTTCAAACTGCACCACAAAGCAAAGGCACAGTTAGCGACACTAACATGCATCATGGATCAGAGGAAGGGCTTTCTCACCACAGAAGAATTAAGCCTGAATCATTTAAATCACAGAATTCAGCATTGAAAGAGGAGGATTGCCTTCTACATGGATTTGTGCAGACGCTGAGCTAAGCGTATGTCCCTTTTCTCAGTCCTGCTGAGCCACTTCTTTCCTCCTCAGAGCTGCACCTCTTTTAGGGCAGCCACCACACTTCATCTTTGCCCATAGTAGAAGCTGGTTGAAGGCATGAGGCATCTCCTTTGACTGATTCAGCACGACCAGGTGGAATCACACCCTAACACCCCCAGGAACTATGACCATAAACAGAGACCAAAAAGATCCATCAAAACAAGCACATGTTTCTTATACAGTGAGAGAATTTTCATTTTCTAGGTGAAACAAAACCCAGGAAAGTGCACTCCCACAGGCTCTGCTAGCTCAACACACACTTGCTCACCTTAGGTGAGACAGCTCCAATTGCCTCTGCTCCCCAAGTCTCAACTGGAAAAAGCAACGTACACAGACACTCAGGGTCTCCTTTGCAGAAGGGCACAGGTGCTTCTGTTCAAGCCACTGCTTGCTTCCACTGATGCACATCAGCTCCTCACTTCACCTCTCTAAAAACTCTTACTTTGATTTTGCAGTCATACATGCAACAATCATGCAATTTCCACAGCTCCTCATTTCCCTGGTCTGCTGTAACCTATCCAGAGATAGAGTCAAGCACAGAGAATGCAGAGAAATTTTGAAACCCTGGTAGGTCCTGTCATTAACTGCCAGGAAGAAGAGCATTTCTAAAAAATCAGGATACACTTCACCTACTGTTGAAGTACCTGATGATGGAAATTAAGTGAGCCCAGCAACGAGTTGTTCTTCTGCCACAAAGCACATGGAGGCTAAAATTAAAAAGCGCTCTAAATAACCTGCTTTGGTCCCACAGAAATGCCTGGAGCCCTTGACTGACTGTGCACAGCACCACAAGCCCACGTACACACTTCCAGAGTAAGTGGTGCAACAACAGCCATGGGGTAACCTCAGATTAGCTCTGTTGCTGCAGTCAGGCTGGCACCTGAGCACAAGTAGAAGCTCAGAAGTTCTTAGCAAAAAAATGGCTATGGATGTCCTTTGGCATCTCACTTGTTCCTTGTCAGTGCTGACTTCCCGCACAGGGAGCACAGCAATTCACCTGGAGCACTTCACTGCTAAGCAAGAGAAAAATCAGATTTAAGGCAGCCCTGCATCCTTTGAATACAGTACCTATAGACAACATTCCTAAATCTCTGGCTTTGCTGGTATCTGAAGATACACTTAATGACTGAAACAACCTTCATCCCAACTGCTCCAGCTTACACCTCACAAGAGCCTACCAGAACGGCACACCAGAACCTGAGATCACCAGAAAAATCACTCAGTAATTTCTCACTATCTTCAAAACTGTTGTGGTGACTTGAGCACAGTGGCATAGATAGGAAAAAACCCCAAACAAACAAACAATATCTAACAAAAAAAAAAAAAAAAAAAAAAAAAATCCAGTTTTTAGTCAGATTTCTCACCTGTTTATTCTATTGGCTTTAGACTTTGTATTTTCAATCCCTACAATCTGCTACGAAAACACTTCATTCAAGATAAAAAGCTACTGAGCATCTCCACAGACAGTAGCCAGGTGATAATTTTAGAACAAAACCATATATGCATGGATCTACTTCTTTGCACACAGAAAGAAACCTAGAGCCATTTCTAAAAGCTACTCAGATTAGCCTTGCTGCTGTCAATTCCCATAGCAAGGGGGAGAAACCCAGCAGAAGGTGGTGTGGATTTTCAAGGACTCATCCTGTACCCCCAGAATTACAGCAGCACCCCAAGCAGAGCAGCATACTGACCCTGCAAAGCCACTCCAGAGAGCAAATCCTACCGTGTGGCTGCCTCAGTCCCGTCTCCCAAAAGACACCACCAGCCACAAGGTTTAGTAACACTTAAAATAGCCCAGCCAGCTCACAGCAGTCCATATAGACAGTTCTATTTCAAGCACATCCAACATACTGTTAGAGATAGCACGGGAACAACCCGCTTTCTTCACTCGTGCTTGACATTTATCTGATGCTTTGACTATTTATGCTAAGGCAGTGTGAAACTGCAAGCTTGCACATTCAGCAGCTTGGACAGTCACAGTGCAATTCCAGCACCAGTAAACTAGACGGTGCTAGAACAGCCCCTGAGCTCGTTAACCGAGTCTGATCTGGAGGCTCATGTTAGCCACGGGAATCCCAGATCATGCTGCTCAGGCAGAAATTTATTCCAGTGTCCCTCCCTGCAAATAGCCTCACCACCTCCTTATTTCTGACCAAATATTTTGCCCACTGCTGACTTACTTTTGGCCAAAGCTCAGGTAGGCTGCACCTACTGAGCTGACTTCTCTTCTCCACCTTGCCTCCCAAAACCCACCATTGCTTCTCTATGGAGCGTGCCTAAACACCAGAGATATTGCTTGAACCCCTCTCCCCCAGGAATTTGTCTCAGCCTGTCAAGCTGTTTCTGCCACGCCGAGCGCAGCCCTCGGGAAGGAGCAGGCTGAGGAAAGCTGAGCTAACAGGTAGCGCGGTGTTTTTTTGCCTTATGCAGGGCTGCACTCGTTTCCTCCTCTGCACCTGCTGTTCCGCCCACAGATGCCCAGGCAGTGTTCTGCTGGGCTTGGACACACACGTGGCGGGCTCACAGGTGCCAGCCTTCCCTTTGCCTGGTGCATGGGGCCGGGGAGGACCAGGCACACACCTGCCAACACGGCCGAGACCGAGTGAGAGCGTAAACAGGCTGAAACCACATGAGCCCATAGGGATGGAGAGAGAAGGCATGGCAGGAGGTCACGCCAGGGCAGGAAGCAGAAGGGCAGCCTCCCTGACATGCCAGGGGAGCAGAGGGACGGATAGAGTCACAGAATCCTTTAAGGTTGGACAAAACCGCCAAGATCACTGAGTACAGCCATTAAGCCAACACTTGCCAAGCCCACCAGTAAGCCATGTCCTGAAAGTGCCACATCTACATGGTTTTTGAACAAGCCGAGAGACGGTGATTCAACGACGTCCCCGGGTAGCCTATTCCAATGCTTGACCACCTTCTAATTAAGATTTTTTTTTTTTTTAATATCCAATCTAAGCCTTCTTTGGTGCAGCTTGGAGCCATTTCCTCTTGACCCGTCACTTGTTACCTGGGAGAAGAGATCGTCCCTCACCTGGTTACAGCCTCCTTTCGGGGAGTTGTACGGGTTGAGAAGGTCTCCCCGAGCCTCCTTTTCTCCAGGCTGAACGCCCCAAGCTCCCTCAGCCGCTCCTCGCAAGACTCACTCTCTAGCCGGCTCAGCAGCTCCGCTGCCCTTCCCTGGATACGCTCCAGCACCGTTGGCCGTCCCCGCCCGCCCGAGCCCCTCGGGGCCGCCCCGCGCCCCCACGCACCGCCCGCGGGCCCGGCCGAGGGGACCCGGGCAGGGCGGCGGCCCCGCGCCCTCGGCCCTCACAGAGGGGCTTGGCGGCGCCTCCCGGCCTCACCCGCCCCCAACTCCCGCACGGCCCCACCGGCTCCCCCCGCCGCCGGTGCCGCTCAGCCCCAGCCCCGTACCTGTACCCGTACAAGGCGCCGCGGTAGCCCCGCTCCGACGGCCACGCCCGCCGGTCCCTGGGACTTGTAGTGCGGCGCGGCCCCGCCCGGGACAGCGGGCGCCCTCCCCCGCCGGGGCGGCGCGGCCCCGAGAGGCCCTCCCGAGAGTACCGGCCCCCTGCCCCGCTCGGGGGCGGCTCCCTCGCGCTGCTCCAGCCCCGTCCCGGGCCGAGATTGCGGCGCCCGAAGGCACCGGCGGCGCGAGCCCGCGGCACGGCCCGCCCCGCCCGGGGCAAGCGCCGGGACTACAGCTCCCACAGTGCCCCGCGGCGGCGGCCGCGGCGGTTCCGGGCGGTGGCGCGCCCTGTGCATGGCCGTGGCGCTGAGCATGGGCCCGGAGCGCGTGTGTCCCCGGGAGCCCGGGCTGCCCGAGGGCCCGGACGGCGCGGCGGGCTGGAGCGGCGACGAGGAGGAGGAGGAGGAGGAGGAGGAGGAGGAGGAAGGCGGCGGGTACTTGTACCAGCCGCTGAGCCAGGAACCGGAGCAGGGCCCCGGCGAGACGGGGCCCGGCCTGCAGGAGCGGCTGCAGGTATCGCCCAGCGCCTCCCGCCGCGACGGGGTTGGGGGGCACCCGTGGTCCCGACCCCCGCTGCCCGCTTTTCTCCGCAGATGCTGAGGCTGCACCTGCCCGACCCACCGACGGACAGCGAGGAGGAGGAGGAGGCGGAAGGCGCCGCGGCTCAGAGCAGCCGCAGCTCCATCCCCATGGATGCAGGTAACGGCGTCTCCGGCAGGGCCCTCTCGGCGTTCCGCCGCGGTCTCACTCCCTCTCTGTTCCCAGAGCATGTGGAGCTGGTGAAGAGGACGATGGCCAGCGTGAAGCTGCCTACCCTGGGCGTCCCCGCCTGGGCCAGCCAGATCTCGGAGGAGCAGTGGAAGGACGTGGTGCAGCGTACACTGCAGGCCCGGCAGAGCCTCGGCGGTCCCCGGCCCGAGTGGAAGTGAGAGCTGAGCTGCAGCACGGAGGCTGCAAACCCCAGCCCTTCCTCCACCCTGCAGGCACCCGGTGCCTCCAGGCCAGGTGCTGACAGGACTTGCCAGTTATCGACCTTCCTGTTTCTCCCACTGACATTGTCTGATTTACCTCCCCACTCCTCTTTCCTGGTTCTGGCTGGTGCATAAGTCAATGTGATGTCCTTGGGTTGGCTTCCTCAGCCTCTGAGGAGCCCGACTGGTTTCTATACTTGTGTGCATGTGGGGCGAGGGGACTTAGCTGGCTTTCCCCAGATTCCCTCAGGACAAACACTGGACTTGTCCCTGTCCTGACTACCTGAGAAGTCCCTCTCCAGGCTTGGGCCCCTCCTCCCAGGACAAGGGCTGTGTTGGAATATCAGAGGCAGAGCCGGCTGTGTCATTCCAAGAGATTGGTTTTATTTAGTTCTGTACATACAGGGACATCTGTACAAAATCCAACACTTTCATACTATGTAATGCTCTACTGAAAATAAAGTACACCATATGTACATATGAACTGTAAGCAGCTTAATACTTGTGTCCAGGGGGTGAATGCAGTAGTTTTGCTTGTTCCCTTGGGAGGAGGGAGCCAGGTGAAGTGGAAGAGGCAGCTCCAGTTCTGTCCATTTGGCTGACATGGGGAAGGCGTAGGCAGAAATGAGCAGCACTAATGCTAGAAACCAAGTATTGAGCAAGGGGCAGCTGTAGTTTGGCAGATGCAGATCTGCCCATGAGCAATTCATGTGGTGAGAGGGTGAGCACACTCCTCCCTTTCTCACATGGTCCCCTTCTGAGGTGTCCAGGACACTGGAATGAATAGGCAGCAAACAAAGGGTGAAAGTACTAAGCCTAAGTTCCCTGACCCAGAACAAGACACACAAAGCTATGGGAACATCAAAGCTGTACAGCACGTAGACATGATGTGTTAGAGTCCTGCCCCTGCACGTGGCACAACTCCAGCAGCATTCCTCTGGCCAGGCTCAGGGGATGCCAACAGAGACAGATCATCTGTAGGACAGCATCAGCCTCTGCACACCACAAGTCTCTGTTCCTTCCACAGACAGAGCAGCCTGCAGCAGGGAAAGGCTGCCCAGCAGCAAGCAGGCTTGAGTGAGGGCACACCACGCCTTAGCAATCTAAAAATGAGGTGTTGGCTTATAGTACAATGCTAAGAGCCAGTTGGAAAGCCTGCACTGAAAGGAAGAAGCATCCCGCCCAGCCTGAGCCCAGCAGTCCTCATCTCCACTGTGCCACTCCAGTGCACCATCCGGCATCACCTGGTGCATGTCTACACGCTGTGCCAGGTGTGAGGTAATCGATTGGCAGCTGATCATAAGCTTGGAGTAATGTTCAGTGTAAGCAATAACCTCCCTGAGGTGTTTCTAAAGTCTCCTGATGAACTGGCCTGTTGTGGAGGGGAGGTGGGGTCCTGCGTGACTGGGGGGGATCTCACACACGCGCTCACTGACTGCTCCGAAGAGATGGTGGCGTTCCTCGTGAGGGCTGAGCCAAGAGAGACCTACACAGGGCAGGGATGCAGGATACAGAGGTAAAAACAGCCTGGTTGGGGTTGGGGGAAAAGATGTGCTGCACACCAGCAGAAAGATTAGAGAGGATGAACCTCTGACCTGGGAATGGTTTACTAATGAGGACAAGCAGATACACCAGAACCTTCTACAACATTCCACGATGCTGCAAAGCAGTGTCAGGCTAGCACCAATGCCGTAAGCTCCCTGCACTACTGCAAATCCACTTAAGCTTATGTGTCAAGAAAGCAGGTGCAGCATGTAGGAAGCAAGGAGGACTCCCTTTTCTATCACAAGCCAGCCTCTGAGGTGGCACTTTGGCCTGGCACTGAATCTGCACCACAAAACACAGGAGTGGAAGCTGGATCACAGTAGCACCCAAGTGCTGTGCAAGCCCCTGGGCTATCAGCAAGTGTGCTCTAAATGCTAATTTAGCAGAGTCCCTGATGCACCAGTAATAACTAACAAGGGCCTCAGCTCAAGGGCCTCAGTGGGTGCCAAAGTAACAGGGCAAGGTGAACTTTGGTCAGAGCACCCACGGAAGCAATTCAGCAGTAACACTTGGCCATTGGTCACAACCAGGAGACTAAGCACCCAGACTCAGCCACGCCCCATAAGGTGTATCCATTGCTTCCCCTAGCTTGCAGAAAGGACTGTAGCAGCACAAGCTTTCTAGAAACCCTGGCCACTGCAGAGCTAAAGGTGGGATACAGAGACAAAGGGAGAGCTTCAGGAGTATTTTAATTGAGCAGGTAGAAGAAGAAAGCAGAATTCAGTGGCTGACACCTGTTACAAAGCAGGAAGTTAATTCTGGGCCCACAATTAACCCGAGACACCGGGATGTAGATGAGTCAGCACAGACCAACACAAATAGCTGAAGGAATCACTTTCCCACAAGAGAGCTTCTAAGGATGCTCGAAAGGGAGGGCAAAAGTACGTAGTGCTTGCACCCAGCTTTACTGGGGGTGACAAAGCACTGAACCCCCCACTCCACTGACAGAGGAACAAAACAAGAGGCTTGGAAAAAAAGAAAGGTGGAAGCAAACATCTTCTCTGCTGCAAGTAAGACCCTTCAGCTGTGGAGCTGCACCCCAAGGCAGCAAAGCCTCCACAAGCTCTGCTCCTGCCTCGAGCTCAGCCTGACCTCTGAGCACCACAGGGCTCAGCGGCACAGGCAGCATGGGGGCAGGCACGGCACAGATGGGTACTTGGGGCTTGGAGCAGCATGCTGAGCCACGTGTGGTTTTCTCTGGCCAACGTAGAGCCTGAGCAAGGCTCTGCTTTCCAGAGAGAGTAAGAACAGGTGGCAGCTCGCAATGAAGTGAGTCCTGCCTGGACTGATACGATCAGAGGTCAGGCAGGCTCCCTTCATGCATGCACAGCCAAGGTGAAAAAGCAGGAGGACATGACAGTGGTAAGATACAAGTTATAACGTAAAACCAGATCTAGCCTGGAGGTATGCAGATGGAGTGGAGGACAGGCACAGCTCACCATGTTCATTCCTTACTTATACATGAGAACCGAGTGCATTTCCATGACCCCTGGAGGAAAGGGATGGGGCAGAGCTTCCCGGGCCAGCCCCTGAGCCCGTCAGAGAGCCTCCTGGCTTGAGGTGAGAAACTCTTCTGCTCTCTTGTGGGCCTCCAGGGCCTTTATAGTGTAGACGTCCTGGGGAAGCTCAGATTTCCGGCGCAGCAAAACTTTGTCCTTCTTAATGTCTTTCAGCATCTACAGACAAACCGAAGGAGTCAGGGATCAGTAGCAAAGCCCTTCACCCCTTCAGCCTCTGACTCCAACCACTCTAGAATATGCTGGGTGACACTGCAGCCTGCTGCGGAACAGGCTGAGAGCCAAACCCAGACTAAAAGGACAGAGAAAAGTCCCACTCGCACTTTTTCCAGAGTGGGAAGGTTAGAGGGAAGATTAGGTAAACTCTACTCTTCAGACTACAGGCTGATCTTTTAATGATCAGGGATGAGAGCAGGGTCATTTACCCTCAGAACACTCGGAAAGAGCCAGTTCTGGCTGCTGGACCCTGGACTGAGAGCAGTTGTGGAAGGACTCTAGTCACTTACGCACCTGCACAGCCTCCGTCTCCACTGTTTTCTTCAGTAGCTGTATATCCTCTGCAGTCGGGGTCTCTGTTTCCATACAGCACACAGAAGGCAAGGGTAGAGGTGCATAATACATGGGGTACTGCAGACAACACAGATAACTGGAGAGTCACCACTCCATACAACACCAGGCTTTCTCCCCCAGCATCCTAACACAGAATAGCACACTTCTAGCTGCCCTCTCTGGCCCCCACAAAAGTAGTAGTAGGTACACAGATAGGAAAGGAGCATCCTCTCCTACCCATTCCTACTGGTGCCCTCTGAGTCACGGCACACTGCATGCACAGCTGCAGCTGAGAGCACAGCCCATAACATGTATGTGCATTACTTAGAGGTCAGTGCTACATAAGTCCAGGCTGACTGTCAACATTACCAAGACACTGAGTTTTGGGAGGACAGACCACTGCTGCAGCAGTGTGCACAGGACTGGGATTGGGTGCTAAAGCCTGCTCTCATGGGCTGAAGAAGCAGGTTAAGACCCCCAGCACATTCTTGTCTCATTCATCCTAGGTCCTGTTGTCACAGAATATGCTGAGTTGGAAGGGAAC